GGGGGTCGACCGGGGGGGGGACTGGTACCAGGAAGAGAGGTGCGGGGGGGACAGGGTGGGTCGCGTGCGGATGAAGCCTGTAGTAACAGACAGACTCGTCAAAGGTGACGTCCTGGGAGGAGAAGACTTGACGCGAGCTCGGGTGGTAGAACTGCCACGACGGGGCGTCGGTGGGGAAGCCAAGGAAGACGCAGCAAAGAGTGCGAGGGGAGAGCTTGCTCGCAGTGGTATCGCGAACAAGGGAGAGCGCGCCCCAGACCCGAAACACCGACGCATCGCCAACCTGTCCCGTCCAACGGAGTGTGGGCGAGGTCTCTGTCAAAGAGACACGGGGCCAGAGGTTGAGCTGATGCGCAGCGTATCGGACCGCAAACGGCCACATAAAATGGGGAGCAGCCGCATGGATCATGGAGGTACGAGCAACCTCCATGATCAAGCCAACGCGACGCTCAACAATCCCATTTTGCTGAGGAGAGGCCGGAAGCGTGAACGACTGGCGGATGCCCTCGTCTCGACAGAACTCCGCAAACTCACCGCCCCTGTCAGAGTGCAGACGCTGGACTGGCAAGTCCCGACTAAACCGATCGCACAGCTGGCGACGAGTAGCACAGATCCAGGGGATCAAAACACCGCTGACGTCCGCCTTGCGACGCAAGGGGAAGTCAGTGGTGTAGCGTGTGTAGTTGTCAACAACCAGCAGGAAGTAATGCTCCTGGTCCGTTCCACCGACGGGGGCCGGGCCCCAAATGTCCATGTGGAGAGTCTGCAGAGGAGCAGTGGTCGAAGGAAACGAGGAGGAGTGAGGAGCGGCGCGCTGCCGCCCCTCGACGCAGGGAAGGCACGGTGGTGCAGGCGAGCGCGAGAGGGAGGGCAAGGACCTGGGAAGCCCAGAGATAAGGAGACAGGAGTGCATGCTGCGGAGACACGGCACTGAGGGGTGACCGAGGCAGTGGTGCCAGAGGAGAGTCTGGTGGGAGAGTACCCGACACGAGCAAGACGCTGCAAGCTGACCAGACGCAGACACCTGACTCGACGCAGTCACCTGACCTGACTCAGCCACCTGTGCAAACGCAGTGGTCAGTGTGTACAGACTAGACGCAGGCCATCGACTGAACGTAGCTAGGTGATGGCCAGTCCGAGAGCACGTACAGATCGCCACACGTACAGATCGTGGGGAGGTGGAGACCTGACAGAGAACCAGAGGGGACTGCTGGACACGGAAGGACAGTGAAGGCTCGTGCGACTACTGGGCCCCCAGTGGGGTTGGCCAGTGAGACTGGTACCGGTGCAACTAGTGGTGTGAGTGTGGTGCAGTCACGAAAGAAACAACGAGACGCACCTGAGTCAAGTGTGAAAGTGTGAAGGGCCTCAGTAGAGGCAGCAGACTCACTAGCACCTGCGACCGAAGACTCACTAGCACCTAGTGCTGCAGCAGACTCAATAGCACCTAGAGCAGCAGCACCGACACCAGCATCACCAGGTACACACGAGTAACACGCACCCTCATCAGTAAGCTTAGTCACATACATAGCATAGATAGCCTTGTTGATCTGAACCAACTCAAGAGCATACACATCGACTCCCATCCCCTGCAGTTTCAGCCAGTTGGGGACAATTGCCTCATTCCCGTACTCATCCACCCGGGCATCCTCAAGACGGCCGAAGCAGCGGTACTCGGTGTGCAGCTTCCCGCAGGGCTGCCCCTTCAGCTTCCCAGTGCGCCTGACGTATGGGCAGCGACCAGAGCCCCCAGGGAAAACACGCTGGACAACCCACTCACGAAGCTGCTGAGGGGTGGGGTTGTCCGGGAGGCGCTGCAGCTGCTGTACATGGCCACCAACGCCACGAGCTGATCCGCCACGGCCTCCACCCTTGCCAGCTCCACCTCGACCACCTCCACCACCCCCGCCGCCTCCACCGCCCCCGCCGCCTCCACCACCCCCGCCGCCTCCACCACCCCCGCTGCCTCCACCACCCCGTCCGCCTCCACTACCGCCACCCCCAGAGCCACCCCCACCGCCTCCACCCCCGCCAAAACCCCACCGCTGGTGCCACCCCCACCCCCATTGCCCCCTTTGCCCCTGCTGTTGTTGCGCCTTCCACCGGGAGCAGACACAGCGCTAACTTCCACAGCATTAAGGAGGTCGACAGCAGCAGCGGTAGCAACTGAGGGGAGGAGAGGGGAGGGAGTACACCCTTCAAAGAAGGGAGAGCGGGAAGTGCCACGAGAGGCAATGACAGCGGCAGCGCTCTTCTCGGCCTCGAGAAGCGACTTCTCGAGCGAGTCAAGTGTAATCTTTGTGGGGTCAATGGCTAGGAACTGGTCTCGGACAGTGCGAAGGGAATCTGGGAGGCGAGTGACAAGGAAGTACAGTGTCATATACAGCGGGGGGGGGGGGGGGGGAGGGGGGGGGGGGTTCGCAGCGAGGAAGGCCGGCTTGAGAGCGGCACGGTAGCGAACCTCACTAGAGCGGAGGTGGGTAAAGAGGTCAGAGACATTGTGGAAATCAGCTAGCTCGGGATGGAGGTACGGGTGCATGAGACGGCCTAGGGCAGCAGTAGTTGGGGAGGAGTAGCGAGCTACTACAGCGTCATAAAGGGCCTTGGCTGTTTTCTGCTAGCTAAAGTGCGCACGCTCAGCTATAGGCAGATGGTTGCAGACAGTAAGGCGGGCAGTGGCGTCACGCATGAGCCACTTCGAATGATCCTCTACCGCTGTAGCAGCTGGAACTGGGAGGGTTCCTTCGGTATGCACGAACAGTGAAATTCCGTCCCTAGCCTCGCTCTGCAGGTACAGCTGGAGATCATCGAGCCAAACATCAAAGCTAATCGCGCGACCCTCAGCGTCAAACGTAAGATCTGAGAAGTTAGCCATAGCTGCAGTAGCAGTAGTAGCAGCAGCAGCAGCAGCAGCAGCAGCAGCAGCAAGAGGAGTTGCAGCAGTAGTGGCAGTAGCAGCAGCAGACTCAGTAGTAGGTGGAGCTACAGGGGCAGGGTGGCGCGGCTCAGCATGGCGGCGTGGTTTGGCAGGGTGGCGCGACTCAGCAGGGCGGCGCGGCTCGGCAAGGCGACACGGCTCGGGCTGGGCAGGGCGCAGCAGCAGTTGTCAGAATGTATTTGCTGTCTAGCCTGCAGTGGGGTACTCTGTAGTGAGTGCAACCCAATTTAGGGTTTTGTATTTGTATCCCAACTCTTGCTAGTGAATTCATTCCTCTCGACATTCTCCTTTCCAATTCTCTCGACACTCAACTCTCTCGACATCCATGCTAGTATCTCGACACTCACTAGCCATGGCTCCTAAGTAACGCTAGAATTCTAACATGGTATTAAGAGCAATAGTTCCTAGGACCTCACATTAATGGGCCCACCACCTAATGCCCTGCTAGCCTAGGCCCCGGCCCGTCGCCCCTTGGCGTCGCCCCTAGCCCCTAGGCTCGGCCCCTTGGCCCCGTCGCCCCTACCTGTGCCCCTCGGCCCCGCTGGCCCCGTCGACTACGTCGCCCCGCGCCCGGCCCGTACTTAGCCCGCGATCGGCCCATACCTAGCCCGCGCTCGGCCCTGTTCCTAGCCCCGCGCCCGGCCCGTACCTCGCCCGCACCTGGCCCCGTACCTAGCCCGCGATCGGCCCGTACCTAGCCTCGCGCCCGGCCTCCGTTCCGCGCCCAACGCCCGGCCTCGTACCTAGCCCGCGCCCGGCCCGTACCTCGCCCGCGCCTGGCCCCGTCCCTAGCCCGCGCCCGGCCCGTACCAAGCCCGCGCCTGGCCCCGTCCTTCGCCCAGCGCCTGGCCCGTACCTAGCCCGCGCCCGGCCCGTACTTAGCCAGCGCCCGGCCCCGTATTGCGCCCAACGCCCGGCCCCGTACCTGCCCAGCACCCGGCCCCGTCCCTTGCCCAGCGCCCGGCCCCGTACCTAGCCGCGCGCCCGGCCTCCGTTCCGCGCCCAACGACCAGCCCCGTACCTAGCCCGCGCCCGGCCCAGTACCTAGCCCGCGCCCGGCCCCGTACCTAGCCCGCGCCCGGCCCAGTACCTAGCCCACGCCCGGCCCCGTACCTAGCCCGCACCCGGCCCAGTACCTAGCCCGCGCCCGGCCCCGTACCTAGCCCTGCGCCCGGCCCCATTCCACGCCCAACACCCGGCCCCGTACCTGCCCAGCGCCCGGCCCCGTACCTGCCCAGCACCCGGCCCCGTCCCTAGCCCAGCGCCCGGCCCCGTACCTAGCCGCGCCCCTCGGCCCCACTGGCCTCGTCGCCCCTAGCTATGGTAAGAGGGGTAATGACTTCCTGCCCGCGTGCCCTGCAGTCGCACGCGCAGCTCCGCCCCCGCCCCCCTCCCCCCCCTCCCTCTCCTCCATGGAAACGGGGGCGAGAGGGTGTGAGGGGGTGGCGGATGTGCCTCAGCAGCAGTAGCTGCCGCCGCGCCTCCTCCTCTATCTCTCCCTGCCGCACCTTGTGTTGGGAGAGGGGGGGGAGCTTGGAATCAGAGGGAGGCAGGAGGGGATCTGCAGCACCAGCCCCCCCCGCCCCCCCTTTCTCCTCCACCCCTGCTGCGGGTGCAGCAGTGGGGGGGAGGGGATCTGCAGCAGCAGTGGGGGGAGGGGATCTGCAGCACCAGCCCCCCCCCCCCCCCCCCCCCCCCAGCCCCCCCCCCACTTCTCCTCCATCGGGTGCAGCAGTGGGGGGGAGGGGATCTGCAGCAGCAGTGGGGGGGAGGGGAGTTGTAGCATCAGCCCCCCCCCCCTCCCCCCCCCCCCGCCCCCCCCCCCTTTCTCCTCTCTCTCTCCCTGCCGCACCTTGTGTTGGGAGGGGGGGGGAGCTTGGAGGTTCAGGGGGAGGCAGGAGGGGATCTGCAGCACCAGCCCCCCCCCCACTTCTCCTCCATCCCCCTGCTGCGGGTGCAGCGGTGGGGGGGAGGGGATCTGCAGCCCTGTGCTGCCCTGCTGCCCTGCTGCCCTGTGCGCCCCGCGCGCCCTGCAGCCCTGCGCGCCCCGCGTACCCTGCTGTCATGCTGCCCTGCGCGCCCCGCGCGCCCTGCAGCCCTGCTGCGCCCCGCGCGCCCTGCTGCCCTGCAGCCCTGTGCGCCCCGCGCGCCCTGCAGCCCTGCGCGCCCTGCTGTCCTGCTGCCCTACGCGCCCTGCGCGCACTGCAGCCCTGCGCGCCCCGCGCGCCCTGCTGCCCCGCAGCCCTGTGCGCCCTGCAGCCCAGTGCGCCCCGCGCGCCCCGCGCGCCCTACTGCCCTGCAGCCCTGTGCGCCCTGCTGCCCTGCAGCCCTGTGCGCCCTGCTGCCCTGCTGCTGCCGCTACAGCCCTTGCTGTTGCCGCTACAGCCCTTGCTGCTGCCGCTACAGCCCTTGCTGCTGCCCTGCACGCCCCGCGCGCCCTGCAGCCCTGCTGCGCCCCACGCGCCCTGCTGTCCTGCTGCCCTGCGCGCCCTGCGCGCACTGCAGCCCTGCGCGCCCCGCGCGCCCTGCTGCCCTGCAGCCCTGTGCACCCTGCTGCCCTGTTTGCCCCGCGCGCCCTGCTGCCCTGTTTGCCCCGCGCGCCCTGCTGCCCTGCAGCCCTGTGCGCCCTGCTGCCCTGCTGCCCTGTGCGCCCCGCGCGCCCTGCAGCCCTGTGCGCCCCACGCGCCCTGCTGCCCTGTGCGCCCTGCTGCCCTGTGCGCCCCGTGCGCCCTGCTGCCCTCTGCACGCGCCATGCACAGCCCCCCCCCGCCCCCCCCCCCCCCCCCCTTCTCCTTCATCCCCTGCTGCAGGTGCAGCAGTGGGGGGAGGGTATGGGGGTGGCGGGTGTGTGAACCGTCCCCTGCTCCTCCTCCTCCTCCGTCTCCCACTGCTACAGCTGCCGCTGAGGGGGGTGGGTGTGTGGGAGCCGAGGGAGTGGTGCTAGGGGGGTGAAGTGGGAGTGGAGCTAGGGGTGCAGCAAGGGGTGTGTGAAAGGGGGGTGGGACAGTTGGGGGAGGTTGAGCGGAGACTGCTGTCTTGTCGTCTGCAGCACCTGTAGTCCGGGGCTCTGCTTCTGGTAGCTCAGAGAGCCTGCTGCACCTGTCGCCCGTGGGTCCGTTGCTCCTGCCGCTCAGAGTTAGCCGCAGAGCCAGCTACTCCTGTAGTCCGGGGCTCTTGCTCCGGTAGCCACCGTGCGCGCCGCTCCTGTTGCCCGTGTGTCCGCAGCATCAGCCGTTGCCTCCTATCTCCTCTCCTCTCACAGTCCAGCCTCCTCCTCACTTGCCCTTTGTGTATGCCTCTAGCTTTGCTTGTACTTGTGAACCTGCTCTATGATTGCTTGCTCTGCTGATTATACCCCACTTTGACTATGGGGGTGTGTCAGAATGTATTTGCTGTCTCGCCTGCAGTGGGGTATTCTGTAGTGAGTACAACCCAATTTAGGGTTTTGTATTTATATCCCAACTCTTGCTAGTGAATTCATTCCTTTCGACATTCTCCTTTCCAATTCTCTCGATACTCAATTCTCTCGACATCCATGCTAGTATCTCGACACTCACTAGCCATGGCTCCTAAGTAACGCTAGGATTCTAACAGCAGTAGTAGCAAAAGCAGCGGCAGTAAGGAGCAGCACCAGCAAGGAGCAGCAGCAGCAAGGAGCGACAGCTGCAGCAAGTAGCAGCAGAAGCAGCAGCAAGGAGCAGCAGCTGCAGCAAGTAGCAGCAGCAGCAGCACGTAGGAGAAGGCGCATAGCAGCAGCAGCAGCAGCAGCAGCGCGCGGGCTGGGTGCATGCAGGCAGCGCGGGTAGCGGCAACAGCTCAGGCGCAGCAGCAGGACCACTTGCAGCAGCAGCAGCAGCTCAGGCGCAGCAGCAGGAACACTTGCAGCAGCAGTCGCAGCAGCAGCATCAGCAGCAGCAGCAGGTAACAGCAGCAGCGCATGCAGCAGGAGGGGCCGCGCAGGTGACACCAGCAGCAGCGCACAGCAGGGCGCAGGCTGCTGGCGGGCAGCGCGAGTGGGCAGTAGCACACTGGTGCTTGCGGGCAGGAAGCGCGCTCGCGGGCGGGCAATGCGCTAGGCAGCAGGCAGCGCGATTGCGGGCAGGGCTGGGCAGCGCGATCGCGGGCAGGACAGGGCAGCGCGATTTCAGGTGGGGCAGGACAGCTCGATCGTGCTAGAGGGGCAGCACGAAAAACAGCGTAGCGGCAGCACTAGGGGCACTAGTGGGGCAAAACGATCAGTGCGCTCTCAGGGCAGCGCGCTACGGGCAGTTATATCCTAGCATGGTGGGCCCAAGAATATTAGGAATGGATTAGGAAGGTACCTAGACTCTGAAACCATATTAAGAGTATCGAGAAAAGTGATGATGGATTAGGTTGGGGGGGGGGGGGGGGGGGGGGGGGGGGGGGGGGGGGGGGGGGGGGGGGGTGGTACAAGATTGTCGAGAAAAGAGTTGTACCCTCTAAGGATAACCCCTACATAGCCTAGATAAACTAGAAACATATAATGTTTTGACAATTAGGGTTGAACAGGTTGGATCGATCTTGCTTATGGAAATGTTTGGTCCCTACCCAGCGAGCCTCTGGGCAGCCCGGAAAGTTGTGGGACACGTGACGCATTCCTTCCGGGAGCCTGCAACAAATTGACAAAACACGAACCGAGAAGCCCATCACTGTACACCAAACCCAAACCTGACTATTTGATATGTAGCACCACACCCGAACCAGAGCTCAAACCCGAGCCTGGATGCTGACGCGCCCGCCAAGCAGTGCCTCGATCTTTTGAGTAACTCGTGCGATTTCGCCCACGCACAAACGAGGTCCCACTCGCCACTGACTGTTGCCCAACGCGCATGCTGCCCCACGCACACCTCCTTCCTAGCAGCGATGCTCCCACGGGTATTTGTTTGTGGGAGGATGTGCGTGGAACGACGCTGACTGTCTGCGCTGACCTCGTCGTGAGGTCCTCAATTTTCGTGAAATGTGACCAGACCCGACATCACGAATTGCCGGTAACAATTGGATTCCCAGGGTTTTTCCCTACAGCCAAACTTCTGTATGCGAATCGAACACCCACTGAGTAACTCGTGCGAGTTTCGCCTACGCGCAAAAGGGCCACTCGCCGCTGACTGTTGACCAACGCACTTGGGCCCCACACCTCCTTCCAAGCAGCCCCTCAAGGCTTGTCGCTCCAGTTGGCCAGGCGGAAAGGGGGGCAGGGAATGAGGGGAGCTGGGGAGTGAGCGGGGGCGGGGGGTCGGGGAGAGTTGCTTCCTCCAATTCTAGGCGCAGGATTTTCGCAGACCGAATCATGGCAAACAGGGTTACCAGGAAAGGGGGGGAGTGACCGGGGCGGGGGTTTGGGAGTGAGCCTGCATGCATCTTTCCACAAACCCAGGCGAAATAATTTCCTAGACCTAGTCACGACAAACAAGGCTACCTGGGGAGTAGATCGACTGCTCATCGCAAAAGCGCGTCAAATCGAGCCGCGTTGTTCCCCCCCACCCTCCCACCTCCCCACCCTCCCCGTCGCTCCACCCAACCCCCCACCCTGCAGCAGCCAAGGCAAAGCAACCCATTAGATTGTCAATCATCCTAGTAACCTTAGCTGTCCTTAGTTGTCCTTAGTTGTCCTTCAAGTGACCCGACCGTTAGTTGTCCTTCGTGTGACCGCGCGTGGCGCGTGAGTCGGCACTATCGAGGTATCAGCAGCAGCAGCAGCACCCAGGAAACTCCTGGTTGCTCCTGATTGGTGGAGCAGTATGAGGTGCAGTTATGAGGAGCGCCACATGAGGAGCACATGAGGGCTTCACTTCATCCATTCACCAGCAGCACCCAGGAAACTCCTGATTTCGTCTGATTGGTCGTAGCGTGCCGCGACGCGACGCGACTCCCTTCGCAGGAGTATCGAGTAGTAGTACTAAACATGGCGTTATCTCGAGCTTTCATCGTCAGTCGGATCAAATCTTCACGTCTTTTTCCAAGAGCACTGCGGATGATAAAACCTTCACATCTTCCACTGCGTTGGCTCAGACGATCCTACTGTCGGAAGAATTTCTCCGCATTCGCCGCAGTGCTCGTTCTCCGCAGTCCGCGATCTCCCGCATCACATAGGTCTTTAAAAATAGATCACTCGTTACGAAATTCAAGCAACAGACGTTCCCAGTTTTCAGTTAACGGTAACAAATCCATTCATGGCGCAGCGCAATTCTCTGAGCGCCTTCGCGGAAAAGTACGAAATCAGGAAGGATCTGGGAAAGGGACAATTCGGCGTCGTTGCGGAATGCGCGGAGCGCGTTTCCGGCAGGCGACTCGCCTGCAAGGTGGTCCCGGCGCACAAGCAAGCCGTTGACGCCGCGCAACGGGAAGTAACGGCACTATCTCTACTGAGAGGGTGTGAAAATATCGTTACTCTCGAAGATGCTTTTATCGGAGAGGGTGGGAAGGGGATGGTGCTTGTAATGGAGCTCGCTTCCGGCGGCGATCTTCTAACGCGGATGGAGAAAAAGGGACGGATTCCCGAGTCCGAGGCGCGTGAGCTGTTCAGAGGAGTCGCCATGGCTTTAAGGCAGTGCCACTACAACGGGGTTATTCATCGCGACGTCAAACCCGACAACGTACTTCTGTTTCCCGCCAAAACTTCTCTCCTACGGCGAATGTCGTCTGAAAGCGGTTCACCTAGTGGGTCCCCAAGATCAACCCTAATAAGCGACTTCATGGGTGCTTGCGACTTCAGAGGTTATGAATTCACTGCGAAACTCGCCGATTTCGGAATCGCGAAGGTGCTTGCGCCTGGAGAGAAGATCGACGGCTATGCAGGGAGCTCCCCTTACGAGGCTCCCGAGGTTTTGGCGGGAAAATCGTACGATTTCGCTGCGGACATTTGGAGCCTTGGTGTTACCCTATACGCAATGCTGTCGGGGAAATGGCCGACTTTCGCGAATGGTCGCCGAATCTTTGACGAAAGCAAGGACTGGGACTCCCCCTGTTGGTGGATCATCTCGAGCCGAGCGAAGAATCTCATCCGTTCGATGCTCGCAACCGACCCGCAGATCCGACCGTCCATACATGACGTTCTGAATGACCCTTGGGTTTGCGGCGCCTCGTTGTTTCCATCTTCATTCTCCGGCGTTGGTTCTCCCAGAAGCATTCCCAAGGCTGCTGCTGCTTCTGCTGTCCAACCTCCCCCTGCATTTGCCATCCAACCTGCGACTTCATTTGCTATCGCAGATGCAGCTTCATTTTCCAGCACAACTGCTGCTGCTGCTGCTGCTGCTGCTGCTGCTGCTGCTGCTGCTGCTGCTGCTGCTGCTGCTGCATCACCAAAGGGTCCCCTGCCTTCCGCTGCTGACTCCTCCTCCACCTCTGCCGCCTTCACGTTCCCGCTCGCGACGCTCACTATCAAGACCACATACAGAACCACATGGAGCACGATAAAGGCGTGCCGCAAGCTCGCATCTGATGTGCTTCGGCAGAAGCAGTGGCGTCGCAGCGTGTGTGTTGCTGAGAAGCTTTCACCGCGTGCCAGCAAACTCTCTCCATGCAAGTCCCAGCGGGCGTCGGAGAGGCTCAGTGCGCGGGTTGCTGCCATGGCCGTTGCGGCGGTTGAAGAATTCACTGCCGATAGGGCGTCCGGTGTAACACAGGCATAACTGTTCTGAGATGGCATTCTTGGTTGAATGTCCTTAAGGTGTGTCTGCAATGCAGTTAGATCAGCATGCTATAAAAGTACTAACGTTATTCTCATTCATCCACCTGACCCAACTTGTTTCTGTTTATCCATCCTTGAGATACTCTGACCCTCCTTTTGGTGTGCCGGCCACCTGCCCTGAGCTTTCTGTTAGGCAGTTATATTTTCACAAATCTTTGTTGGGTGGCCTGTACAGCACACAAACATTGCGTAAAATGACAGCATACACAGGCAGGCTGAAAACCATCTTAACTACAGCTACGAAATATGAACTATTTAACACCCGCACGATATGTACAACGTTGTCCTTTTCGTCCTGGTGTAATCTCCTGTTCTCTCTCCACCTCCTGCTTCCTTGTCCCCTCTCCCCCTTTCCCCTATCCCTCCACCCCACATCCCCTCCTCGCATCAACAATCATCGCTCGAGCCCTGTTCTCCACACCACACCCTCGGCAACATACGGGGGAGGTGGCAACTGGACGGCATCTATCACCACCCCTTATGCTTCCCCCCTCAGCTCAGCTCCCCTGATCTCCCCCCCCCTCTACATCACCGCTTCGCATCAACAATCATCGCTCGAGCCCAATGCCCCACATCCTCGTCATCACTCGGGGAAGGTGGCAACCGAACTCCTTCCACCAGTTACACTGGTGTTCCTTGTAAGGAGTCCAACACCATGCTCCTCATGGTCCAACACCATGCTCCTCATGGTCCAACACCATGCTCCTCATGGTCGCTCTTCCCTCTCACCGCCTCGCATCAATGATCATCGCCCGAGCCCAATGCTCCACAGCTTCGGCATCACTTGGAGGAGGTGGCAACTGTACCGCATCAACCACTGCCCACTCCTCCCCCCCCACCTCCCCTTTCCCCTCGCCTCCCTCCCTCCCTCCTCCACGCCCTCCCTCCCACACTCGCCCCATCCCTTCCCCGTGCCCCTTCCCTCTCGATCCTAGCAGTCTCTGCTTGAGATTCAACCCATGGGCATTGGGGTCAGAGACCAGATAGGCTGGGATGTCCGAACCTGCTCTCCCTTCATGATTTGATATGGTGGAGTTTGGATGTGTGTTAGGGCTGTGGCTGATAGTGGCATGATGGGTGTGGGGAAGAGCGGCGCTTGTGCTTGTATCGGAGATGACTTTACAGGGTATTCTGCGACCGTGCTGCTTGGAAGAGGGGAGAGGGGGGCAGAGGGAGGAGTGAAAGGTCGAGTGGGGAAAAAGCGGGCACTTGTGCTCGCGCTTCTATAGGAATGACTCTACACGGTGATTTGAGACCTTGCGGCTCGGAAAGGGAGAGATGGGAGAGCGGGAGAGAGGTAAGGAGGAGTGTGGGGTTGAGTACGCGAGAGAGGGAATTGTGAGAGAGAGAAACGGAGTGCGGGGGAGAAAGCGGGGATTTCAATACTTACCTAAAGGGGTTATATACAGAATGAGTGAGTTTTGGAATAAACCAGGCCTAAACTCCTTCACATCTTTCTTCATCTCCCTTCACTCACCAAGGCTGCTGCTGTTGTGCTGATATAGTCCTCAACAAGGGAGTTTCCAAGAAGGTTCTCGTGAGGCACCTGCACCCCCTCCCCTGCTCCCCCTTCGGCAGCAGCAGTGGGAGAAGTAGCAGCGGCGAAGGGGGGGAGGGCTGGATGGTGCGGTTTTAGGTGGGGAGGCTGAGTAGTGGTTGGTGGGCAGAAAAACAACGACGAGTCACATCCCTGGTTGCTGCAAGGAAGTGAAGCGGGGAAGGGGAAGCAAATTGGGAGGGAGGGGAAGGAAGAGGAGGAGTGCGGGGGGGAAAGGGAATGGGAGGGAACAGGGAAGGCGGAACAGGCAAGGGGAAAGGGAAGGGGAGGGAACAGGGAAGGCGGAACAGGCAAGGGGAAAGGGAATGGGAGGGAACAGGGAAGGCGGAACAGGCAAGGGGAAAGGGAATGGGAGGGAACAGGGAAGGCGGAACAGGCAAGGGGAAAGGGAATGGGAGGGAACAGGGAAGGCGGAACAGGCAAGGGGAAAGGGAATGGGAGGGAACAGGGAAGGCGGAACAGGCAAGGGGAAAGGGAATGGGAGGGAACAGGGAAGGCGGAACAGGCAAGGGGAAAGGGAATGGGAGGGAACAGGGAAGGCGGAAGAGGCAAGGGGAAAGGGAATGGGAAGGAACAGGGAAGGCGGAACAGGCAAGGGGAAAGGGAATGGGAGGGAACAGGGAAGGCGGAAGAGGCAAGGGGAAAGGGAATGGGAGGGAACAGGGAAGGCGGAAGAGGCAAGGGGAAAGGGAATGGGAGGGAACAGGGAAGGCGGAAGAGGCAAGGGGAAAGGGAATGGGAGGGAACAGGGAAGGCGGAAGAGGCAAGGGGAAAGGGAATGGGAGGGAACAGGGAAGGCGGAAGAGGCAAGGGGAAAGGGAATGGGAGGGAACAGGGAAGGCGGAAGAGGCAAGGGGAAAGGGAATGGGAGGGAACAGGGAAGGCGGAAGAGGCAAGGGGAAAGGGAATGGGAGGGAACAGGGAAGGCGGAAGAGGCAAGGGGAAAGGGAATGGGAGGGAACAGGGAAGGCGGAAGAGGCAAGGGGAAAGGGGGGATAACGGCGTGAGAGAGAGCTGGATGGTGTGGGACAAGGTGGGGAGACAAGGTGGGGAGACAAGGTGGGGAGACAAGGTGGGGAGACAAGGTGGGGAGGAAAGGCTAAGCAGTGGCAGACGATGGGGAAAGAAAAGGAACGACGGGTCACACATGTCTGGTTGCTGCAAGGAAATTAGAGTGGGGGAGGGGGCAGGGAATGGGAAGGGGAGGGCGTGAAAGAGAGCCAGATGGGGTGGGGCGAGGTGGGGAGGCAAGGCTAAGCAGGGGCGGACGTTGCAGGGGAGAGATGGAAAGGTCTGTACGAAATTAAGTCAGTACGAAATTAAGTCTGTACGAAATTAAGTCTGTACGAAATTAAGTCTGTTGGCATGTGGAACTCAGCTTACCGCAGAAAGGGTAGCCGCGTATCCCGCGTGGCCGCCGACATCATCATTGCCAGCTCAGCAAAGTCGTCCAGCTCTGCACCACCTCCTCCACGAGCCTCATCTCCAGGTTTGGCGATCCCAAACCTGCCGGCATGGGCGGCGGCAAGGCAGGCAGCACTTCTCCGAAGCAAGCGCAGCCCTCGCCGAACCTGCTTGATCTCGCCAGGTGGCAGCTGCTGATTCGCTGCCGAGGCATGGGAGAAATTTATCGGGTTGCCTGCTTCGTCTTGTAGCGGGGAAGGTGGTATCCCAGCCCACGAGCCAAAGAGAGAGTTGCAGGCGAAGGAGGAAGAGAGGAAGCTTCCAGGAAGGGTGGAGGCAGAGGAGTGTGTGGAGGCGGAGGGAGAGGAGGGGAGGTTGGAGGAAAAGGGAGGGGAGGAGGGGGAGTGGGAGGAGGAGTCGAGAGAGGAGGGAAACGGTGCGTGTGAGTGAGATGGTGTGAGAGAGAAGGAAATCCCATCCCTGCAAAACAGAAACAAAACAATGGGCATGAGATGAGACACAAAATTCGTTCGTGTAGTACTATATATTTTTTCTGTATGATAAACGATTCACATGGGTTCTCACCTGGGGTTGGTTGGGGGAGTGAGTGACCAGTAGGACTGTCGATGCCACACCTTGGATGATGATGCCTGGAGGGAGGGAGGACGATTAAAGTCAACACAAGTCAATGCAGGTCAAAACAAGTCAACATAGGGAGAGTTGGAGGGAGGAGTGAGGGTCCAGTAGGACTGTTGATGCCACACCTTGGATGATGATGCTGCCTGGAGGGAGGACGGGCACAGTCAATCCAGGTCAACGCAGGTCAAAGCAAGTCAATGCTAGTCAATATAATCCAACAATGCCAATGCAAGTCGATCAAGGAGGGAGGAGAGACTGACTCACAGCAAAGGCAGCGACGTGCAGGAGAGGGAAGGAGAGGTACTTGGAGAGCAGGTGAATGGCAGTAAACGCAAGTCAACGCAGGTCACATATATCAAGGAGCACTCACAGAGAAAGCAGCAAGGTGCAGGAGAGGGAAGGAGAGGTACTTGGAGAGCAAGTCAATGAGTGGGAGTTGAAGTCAATATAAGTCAACGCATATCGGAGAAACTCACAGCAAAGGCAGCGACGTGCAGGAGAGGGAAGGAGAGGTACTTGGAGAGCAGGTGAACGCAGGTCAACGCATATCAAGGAGCACTCACAGCAAAGGCAGCGACATGCAGTAAAGGGAAGGAGAGGTACTTGGAGAGCAGATCGAGGAGTCGAATCAAGCAGCTGGAGTGGTGGAGTGGGGTGGGGCGGGATGGAGAGGGGTGGGGTGGGATGGGGTGGAAGGATCGGAGTTAGAACCAAAATATCTAAGGGGACTCAGAGACAGAAAGGTATGCGGAAAGCAGGTTCATCAAAAGTTGAAACAGGCAGCTGGAGTGGTGTAGTGGGGTGGTTAAATGGCAGGTGGGAGAAAATGAAACTTAACCAATGGAAACAGCGAGCTCCTAAGGGGGGATGTAAGAATCAGCGGAGGGGAGAAGAGGAGGAGAGGCAAGGAAGGACGAAGGAGGGAGGGTGGGGAGTGCAGATGACTTGAATTATGCAATGGCAAACTCACCCGATAGCAGTAGGCTCTAGGGGAGGGATGAGTAGAATGTGGGCGTCAGAGGAGGGGAGGCAGGGAGAGACGAGGAGAAGAGCATATGACCTCTCTGGCAAACTCACCCTATAGCAGCAGCGGGCTCTAAGGGAGGGATGAGCGGGATGCGCCAGAGGAGGGAGGAGGTTGAAAGAGTGAACTTGGACTCGAGGCAAGGAGGCCGCAGATAGAGAGAACGGACTTGGAGTCAGGAAGAGGAGTGAGGAAGGGGTTGGCAGGAAGGGGGAGGGATGCACGAACACAAGCTCACTCACCCTATTGCGGCTGCTAGCTCCAAGGGAGGGATGAGCGGGATGTGGGCGTCAGAGGAGGGAAGGCGGAGGCCACAGATAGAGAGAGCGGGCTTGGAGTCAGGAAGAGGAAAGACAGAACAAGTGGGCAGGAAGGAGGAGGGAACTCCAACTCACCCGATAGCAGCTGCGAGCTCCAAGGGCGGGATGAGCGGGCGGGATGTGGGCGTCAGAGGAGGGGAGGCGGAGGCCGAAGATGGAGAGAATGAACTCCGGGATCAGGGAGGGGAGGCGAGAAGGGGGTTGGCAGGAAGGGGCTGGCAGGAAGGGGCTGGCAGGAAGGGGCTGGCAGGAAGGGGCTGGCAGGAAGGGGCTGGTAGGAAGGGGCTGGCAGGAAGGCGCTGGCAGGAAGGGGCTGGTAGGAAGGGGCTGGCAGGAAGGCTCTTCCTTCTGGAAGGGGGATTGATGCACAAATGCAAGCTCACTCACCCTATGGCTGCTGCGAGCTCCAACGGAGGTATCAACGGGATGTGGGCGTCAGAGGAGGGAAGGCGGAGGCCGCAGATGGAGAGAGTGAACTCGCTGGGGTCAGGGAGGGGAGGGGACACACGGACACACGGACACACAGACACACGTGCACACATGCACGAATAAAAAAGAAAAGGTGACTTCTGAGTTGACCCAAACACATTTGTTAAAACACAAGCTCAACACGAAATCCAGAACACAGAATTCAAGTATTTTCCTCCGCATTCGTGCCATGGTGGTACGTGCCTGTAAGTTGCCCGGAGCTTGCAAGTTTTGAGGCGCCTCACAAGTTGGTCCGATCCCCTCCTGCTCCATCCTGCTCGTCCCTTCCTTCCCCTCCCGTCCCTCCCGTCCCTCCCGTTCCTCCCGTCCCTCCCGTCCCTCCCGTCCCTCCGTCCCTCCCGTCCCTCCCGTCCCTCCCGTCCCTCCCGTCCCTCCCTCCCTCCCGTCCTCCCGTCCCTCCCGTCCCTCCCGTCCCTCCCGTCCCTCCCGTCCCTCCCGTCCCTCCCGTCCCTCCCGTCCCTCCCGTCCCTCCCGTCCCTCCCGTCCCTCCGTCCCTCCGTCCCTCCCGTCCCTCCCGTCCCTCCCGTCCCTCCCGTCCCTCCCGTCCCTCCCGTCCCTCCCGTCCCTCCCGTCCCTCCCGTCCCTCCCGTCCCTCCCGTCCCTCCCGTCCCTCCCGTCCCTCCCGTCCCTCCCGTCCCTCCCGTCCCTCCCGTCCCTCCCGTCCCTCCCGTCCCTCCCGTCCCTCCCGTCCCTCCCGTCCCTCCCGTCCCTCCGTCCCTCCCGTCCCTCCGTCCCTCCCGTCCCTCCCGTCCCTCCCGTCCCTCCCGTCCCTCCCGTCCCTCCCGTCCCTCCCGTCCCTCCCGTCCCTCCCGTCCCTCCCGTCCCTCCCGTCCCTCCCGTCCCTCCCGTCCCTCCCGTCCCTCCCGTCCCTCCCGTCCCTCCCGTCCCTCCCGTCCCTCCCGTCCCTCCCGTCCCTCCCGTCCCTCCCGTCCCTCCCGTCCCTCCCGTCCCTCCCGTCCCTCCCGTCCCTCCCGTCCCTCCCGTCCCTCCCGTCCCTCCCGTCCCTCCCGTCCCTCCCGTCCCTCCCGTCCCTCCCGTCCCTCCCGTCCCTCCCGTCCCTCCCGTCCCTCCCGTCCCTCCCGTCCCTCCCGTCCCTCCCGTCCCTCCCGTCCCTCCCGTCCCTCCCGTCCCTCCCGTCCCTCCCGTCCCTCCCGTCCCTCCCGTCCCTCCCGTCCCTCCCGTCCCTCCCGTCCCTCCCGTCCCTCCCGTCCCTCCCGTCCCTCCCGTCCCTCCCGTCCCTCCCGTCCCTCCCGTCCCTCCCGTCCCTCCCGTCCCTCCCGTCCCTCCCGTCCCTCCCGTCCCTCCCGTCCCTCCCGTCCCTCCCGTCCCTCCCGTCCCTCCCGTCCCTCCCGTCCCTCCCGTCCCTCCCGTCCCTCCCGTCCCTCCCGTCCCTCCCGTCCCTCCCGTCCCTCCCGTCCCTCCCGTCCCTCCCGTCCCTCCCGTCCCTCCCGTCCCTCCCGTCCCTCCCGTCCCTCCCGTCCCTCCCGTCCCTCCCGTCCCTCCCGTCCCTCCCGTCCCTCCCGTCCCTCCCGTCCCTCCCGTCCCTCCCGTCCCTCCCGTCCCCCCGTCCCTCCCGTCCCTCCGTCCCTCCGTCCCTCCGTCCCTCCGTCCCTCCGTCCCTCCGTCCCTCCGTCCCTCCGTCCCTCCGTCCCTCCGTCCCTCCGTCCCTCCGTCCCTCCGTCCCTCCGTCCCTCCGTCCCTCCGTCCCTCCGTCCCTCCGTCCCGCCGTCCCGCCGTCCCGCCCGTCCCGCCGTCCCGCCGTCCCGCCGTCCCTCCCGTCCTCCCGTTCCTCCCGTCCCTCCCGTCCCTCCCGTCCCTCCCGTCCCCTCCCTCCGTCCCTCCGTCCCTCCGTCCCTCCGTCCCTCCGTCCCTCCGTCCCTCCGTCCCTCCGTCCCTCCGTCCCTCCGTCCCTCCGTCCCTCCGTCCCTCCGTCCCTCCGTCCCTCCGTCCCTCCGTCCCTCCGTCCCTCCGTCCCTCCGTCCCTCCGTCCCTCCGTCCCTCCGTCCCTCCGTCCCTCCGTCCCTCCGTCCCTCCGTCCCGCCGTCCCGCCGTCCCTCCCGTCCTCCGTCCCTCCCGTCCCTCCCGTCCCTCCCGTCCCTCCCGTCCCTCCCGTCCCTCCGTCCCTCCGTCCCTCCGTCCCTCCGTCCCTCCGTCCCTCCGTCCCTCCGTCCCTCCGTCCCTCCGTCCCTCCGTCCCTCCGTCCCTCCGTCCCTCCGTCCCTCCGTCCCTCCCGTCCCTCCCGTCCCTCCGTCCCTCCCGTCCCTCCGTCCCTCCGTCCCTCCGTCCCTCCGTCCCTCCGTCCCGCCGTCCCTCCGTCCCTCCGTCCCGCCGTCCCGCCGTCCCGCCGTCCCTCCCACTGCAAGAATATACACGTTTCTTCTCCACTTCCGAATGCCATGGTGGTGGTACGTGCCTGTAAGTTGCCCAGAGCTTGCAAGTTGGTCCGATCCCCTCCCAGCTCCATTGGTCCCATGCTGCCTGTGCTTGCTGCTTCCTGTGCCACTCCCATGCTACCACTTGCTCCACCCGCCCTTGCTGCTCCTCCGTGCGCCAATGCTGCTCTCCGCATGGCCAGCTGTGGCAGAGAACAGGAAAGAGGCGAGGGGGGGATGAAGGATTTGCCATCGACACTCCTAAGGCTGCTCCACCCTGCCCTGCCTAGGTGCGCCCGCTTGGGAAAAGATTCACTGAACTCCCAAAGAGCTTCTGCTGCAGCAGAAACGACCACCCATCCATCCACCCATCCTACTCACCACGGCGTTGGCATGTGCGAGGAGCGACTTCTTTGAGTTGAGCTGCAGGCGCAGCTGCTCCAACCTCATGCCATCTGGCAGCGAGCAGCGAGGGGGGTTCATTCAGAGTTAGAACACACATGGGTTTTTGAAGATTCTCAAAACCACTTGAAGGCTTCAAGTGAGATGCTGCAAGCAAGGTTATCCGATCTGGGTAGCGAGGGTTTCAGTCGGGGTCAGAGCATGCATGGGCTCTTTTGAGAATTCTCACAGTCATATCAACGCTCCTTTTGAGAGGTCTCAAAAGTCAGTCATATCAACGCTCCTTTTGAGAGGTCTCAAAAGTCAGTCATATCAGCGCTCCTTTTGAGACGTCTCAAAAGTCAGTCATATCAACGCTCCTTTTGAGACGTCTCAAAAGTCAGTCATATCAACGCTCCTTTTGAGACGTCTCAAAAGTCAGTCATATCAACGCTCCTTTTGAGACGTCTCAAAAGTCAGTCATATCAACGCTCCTTTTGAGACGTCTCAAAAGTCAGTCATATCAACGATCCTTTTGAGACGTCTCAAAAGTCAGTCATATCAACGCTTCTTTTGAGATGTCTCAAAAGTCAGTCATATCAACGCTCCTTTTGAGACGTCTCAAAAGTCAGTCATATCAACGCTCCTTTTGAGACGTCTCAAAAGTCAGTCATATCAACGCTCCTTTTGAGACGTCTCAAAAGTCAGTCATATCAACGCTCCTTTTGAGACGTCTCAAAAGTCAGTCATATCAACACTCCTTTTGAGACGTCTCAAAAGTCAGTCATATCAACGCTCCACGGAAGATTCTGCAAGCTCATCTGATCCGAGAGCACGAAATTCAGTCAGTCAGATCAGAGTTTGAGTGGGACAGATGGGTTTATGTCATTTGACAAAGTGACGCTACGGCATACACGAGCAGAAGAGGGGTTCAGGAATTGAGTGGACGGATGGGGGAGAGGAAGAGGAGGTGTAGGTGGTGGATCGTTCAGATCGGAGGTAGATAATCCAATCTCCCCTCACCTTCCAGAACTTGACCTTTTTCCTTAGCATTTGCTTTCCGCAACCCCTCACATCGCTCCTAAGCCTCCTTCACCAATAATTTCCCCCCTACCCCCTTCCCCGCCCGCCCCCCCCCCCCCCCCTCCTCCTCCTTCCCTCCCCATCTTCCCTAAACCCTCTCTCACCTTCCAGGACTTGAGCTCGTCTCCTCGAGTTTTCTTTCCTCAGCGCCTCGCATCGCTCTTCCACCTCTCTCCGCCGCCCCTCCCACTGATATTTCCCACCCTGATAGTGACACACTCAATCGAATCGAAACACAATTGACACACAGTTGACACACAGGAAGAACATACTTATGAAAATAACGTTTGAATCAAACAAGATAATAGAGATTTCGGCCTTCCAGAAGCTTTCCCTCAGCCTCTCCGATTTCTAATCCACCTTCCTTTGTCGTCCTTCTAACAGAAACCCACCTGCCTCTCCAGCACTGCTGTCAGGCGATTCTTCAGGTGGTCTCTGTGGCACCTGAGGCGATCCAGTAGCTGCCGTTGCTCGTGTTGGCTGTTAGGAAGGGAATGGATGATGAGGAGAAGGGATAGAGGAGAAAAGGTTCATATTCTCACTCTCTCTCTCTTGCCATGCCGATATGACATCTTTGGCAATCAAGTGTAGACACATTAGAAGAATGATAACAAATCTTCAGAAGCACGATACGAATTATACAACATCTTCAGACAACAAAAATCCGCTCCTTCCCTATCTTGCTCCTCGTTTCACTCCTCCTTTCGACACCTCGCCACGCTCCTTGCAATTAGACTCAACCTTTTCCATCACCACTCTTCTTCACCCCTTCCCACCGCACTCTCTCACTTACATACGATCCACGCAGTCACAGCAGAGCGACGGCAGGTTGACCCCCTCGCACACAGGACAAACGAGGCCGGCCATTAGTTGTCCTAATTTAGGAGACTATAGAAGTCAGCTTGGTGGTAAGTGGTTAACTTCTCACTCGCCAACAACCAACGTTTATTTGGCACGGGACTCGAGAGTCTTGAAAGGGGACACCGCCAGAAGGATACTGAAGCTTTGCGATTCCCGAATTTATCGGGGGTCGGCTGTTGCTGGTAGCGTGAAAATCGGCAGCTGACGGTCAGTAAATGAACTTTCTCTCCTGCTGACACTGCCTGTTCGTGAAACCTCCAGCTGTCCGAAATATTCCCACTCGTCGAATGCTTCGTCCTGCCGTCGGGGATAGTCTACAGACTCTTCAAACGTCTCATAAACCAGCTGTCGGAATACGTTTTATGACTCCTCGTCAGTTGCCTGTCATTGCGACAACCGCGCGATTTTGCACACACACCGAGAAATCACACTAACCGCAGACCGGCTGCGTGCTAGCTCAACTTGAAGTGTACACTCGGAGAGTAACGGTGGACAGACAGATTGTGCATCCTACACCGCTAAACGTATCCTACGCTCCCGCTGGTTCCGTCAAGCGCCGATTACGGAAACAGAGCAGGGAATAATTTTATAGCGACGCCGAAGAGTGTGGTGTGGAGACGTGGCTTTCACAAAATGACATGGCGTGAGCCATTCTACTTGGTCCGAGGAGCAGCAGGAAGCAACCGGGAACGGTGGCCTAGTTGCTGTGACAAATAGGTGATTCTCGGATTTGACATACGAGGACGTGTTGCAAGTTATGGTTCTCTGCCCCGTGTTTCTGTTACCATTGTTATAATATCGTCAACCGAAGATTCTGTCGATCCGGTAGCTATCAAACGAAACGGGTTCCATTCGTAAGGACGAGCGTCAGCGATTTTTAGGCTGGTTCGTCAACGAAATAATCGGCCAAGTCCAACCTTGAGTACAGTTCATGGAGCATTATGGAAATTGGTAAACAGTCCTTCAGAATCCGAAGCTCGAGTTTGATGGGGCCAGCCCTCTGCTTGTCTGAGAGAACGTGATGTCTGTCCGAACCTACAGGTTGAAGGGTACGGGTAACTGGAGCTCCGTGGCTGCGAAGAAGTCGGTTGGTTGGTGTGCTTGTGATGGACCCAGGACCCGATAACCACAGCCGAACGAAATTTAATGCGAATTCTGAAAGCACCAAAATGGCGAAATTTAACCGGATCGCGAAGCGCACAAATTCGCAAGTCATAATAACTTCGTGACTCTCGTCAGGGTAGCAAAAGCGTCCTGCTTCGTCAGCACTTTCGCAACGATTCGCGGATTCGTGAGTTCTGGAGATCTCGAGGGCCAAACCAGCCAGCGTATTAGCCTCGGGATGTCACCTGAACCAGGGAGACAAGAACCTCTAGGGTTACACATTTGTCACGCATTTACGTTCCTGTGTTGTGGCTCAGGACGTTTCCACACGGTGGAACGCGGTTCTCAAGGTTAACCGATTCGCACTGTGACGAAACGAAGTTGACCGCAGGTAGCATACAGATGTTTTGCAACCTGGGCCCTGTTCGCCAGGCACTCTAGTCCGACTGGGCCCAGTCACCCTTATGAGGCAAATCACCAACCCACTGATGCCGCCCTTTCGAGGCAAATCACCAAACTCACAGATGTCGCCCTTTTGAGGCAAATCACCAACTCACTGATGTCACCCTTTCGAGGCAAAGCCCTTTTGAGGCAAATCCATGTCCAGTTTCACATGCCTGCCGTATTGATGAATCTGCAGGACGAAGAGAGGGACACCAGTGAGTATTGGTGGAATTGACAGGAAATGCTGACCGCTGATCCTGGTGACTAAGCTCAGTAAGGGTTTCAATAATTGGAGAACAGGACATGGCAGACCCGATTTGATATCTGAGCTTGAATTGGCCGACCTGGTTGAATTTTACTAACGACGATCAGGTGTACGCCGCACTGTTTCCGCGCCGAAAGACGCCGCGCTTTTCCTGCCACGCTTCAGAGCGACATGTTGTTTGGACAGAAGTTCGTGGCAGGTCCTCACCGTCGATCCCATCCGCATCCGACGGTGGCGGGTGGATTGTCCCGGCCAGACGCTTCGGGTTCTAACGCAGCTGAGCTCGCTGGGCTGACATGTGACACTAGCGAGCGGTTGGATGCGGATAGTGACGAAATTGATCACGGCCATCCGCGTCATAGACATATTCGTGATGCGCATACTGCACAACCCGATGCACATTTGTACGCTGAACGGAATTCTCGTTCCCCAAATCCTCGTAGCCCTGAAAATGCCGACTACATGACTGCTCGCAGCCAGAGCACTTCTCCTGACGGAAAAGCTTCATACAGTACACTTGGAGCAGCTAATAAAGCGTCTGTTACGACGAAGCCCTTATTGCATAAGAGCGGGGTTGTTAATATCACGAGTGGAGATGGTGGTGGGAGGAGGTCCCGATGGCGTGTCTGCTCCTGCTGTCCGCATATAAACAGAGACCAAGGATCAGCCATCGTTGTGCTTGTAACGGGGCTGGCTCTAGTGGGACTACTCGCGGGTTTGGACGTTTGGATAGAAGTTATGAAGCTAAAAGGAGAGATAGGGGCACTAGGGAATGATGGAAGCGGGGATGGTGGGGAGACAGGGGGAAGAGGAGCTAAAAAAAGACATAGGGTGTGTGAATTGCCTCCGGGGGTGTTTAAATCGGTGGAGAAGGACTTTTTAGGGCGCATTCCGGAGTTTCCCAAGCTGGAGGAGGCTCTGAAGCAGCCAGGAGCGATGAATTACTTGAAGATTATTCACCGGTATCTGGAGCCATGGCGACCCATCGCTGTGAGTGCAACTGACTGCTTTCTCCATGCCATGTATCTTGCCATGCATGCCATGCCATAACCATGCATGCCATGCCATAACCATGCATGCCATGCCATAACCATGCATGCCATGCCATAACCATGCATGCCATGCCATAACCATGCATGCCATGCCATAAATCATGCCATAAATCATGCCATGCATGCCATGCCGTGCCTGAGGCACTCCAATTCATCAGCAGTTCACTGAGTCCATTGCGCATTGCATACTTTCGCATGCTAACTCGTGTCTCACACATCAGAACATCAGCACTGGTCTGGGGCACAGAGGCTTTGTGACGCCTGAGGCTCTCGAATTCATCAGCATTTCTCCGAACCTGATGTCCTGCTCCGGGCATATCAAAGTAAGTAGGTGACTTTCTGAGTCGACCAAGAGCCGCTTGGGGCATTCTAGAGTAAATTCATGCCTCCTTCTGCACAATATAAGTTTCTGGGGGGTTAATGGAATAGTTCCACCTTGTACTCACACCCTTTCACTTTGATTTCACGAAATTCAAGATTTGATTATGCACCTGTTACTCGTTACTGTCATCTTCTATCATGGCAGGTGATTAACGGCAAAGTTTACTTCCGTTACGGTGGCTTTTGGAACCGCTACTACCGCCTAGGAAGGTTCCTCCAAACAGTCAAGATGCTTCAGGTTAGTCAACGTTAGTCAAGGGGTGCTAGGCATGGGAGTCAACGCCAGTCAAGGGGTGATAGGCAGGTTAGTTAATGCCAGTCAAAGGCTAGGAATGTACGATCACCTCACGGTCTTCCCCAGCTCATACCATCCACATGTCACCACCCCATGCCCTTCCCCTCTGCCTGCATTGCATTTCCCCTTAACCCTTGTTTAATCCATCCACCTGCAGAACGCAGTGACACAGTACCGCCTCTCCTCCCTCCGCCTCGATCTCTTCCTCAACACATGCGACCAACCCATGTCGTTCCCTTCTCCTTGATTCTCTCCTGCACTCCCTCTCAAATCCGCGGATCCCTTCCCTCCCTGCAGGGGGCAGTGACGCAATACCGCCTCTCCTCCCTCCGCCTCGAGTTGTTCCTCAACACATGCGACCACGCCATAGCCTTCCCCAGCTCATACCATCCACATGCCACCACCCCATGTCCTTCCCATCTTCCTGCATACCCTCCTGCCCTCCCTTCACCTTTTGAGGCGCCTAAAAAAAAAAACTGCCCTCCCTTCACCTTTTGAGGCGCCTCAAAAAAAAAACTGCCCTCCCTTCACCTGGCAGGATGCAGTCACCTCTCCTCCCTGCGCCTCGAGCTCTTCCTCAACACGTGCGACCACCCCATGCCCTTCCCCTCTCCCTGCACTCTGCATCTCCCCCCTGTCCAATCCACCCCTTTTACAGGACGCAGTAACCCAATACCGTATCTCCTCCCTCCGCCTCGAGTTCTTCCTGAACACGTGCGACCACCCCATGTCTTTCCCTCTCCTTTGTTTCCAATCAAATCCCCTATCCACCTTCTGTGCAGGACGCAGTGACACACTATCGCCTCTCTTCTCTCCGCCTCGGGTTCTTCCTCAACACGTGCGACCACCCCATGTCTTTCCCTCTCCTTTGTTTCCAATCAAATCCCCTATCCACCTTCTGTGCAGGACGCAGTGACACACTATCGCCTCTCTTCTCTCCGCCTCGGGTTCTTCCTCAACACGTGCGACCACCCCATGTCTTTCCCTCTCCTTTGTTTCCAATCAAATCCCCTATCCACCTTCTGTGCAGGACGCAGTGACACACTATCGCCTCTCTTCTCTCCGCCTCGAGTTCTTCCTCAACACGTGCGACCACCCCATGTCGTTCCACAGCTCGCACTGGCCAAACAGGGGCGGGCTGCCCTTCATGAGCACCGGATTCACAGCAGATACGATCGACATTCCTGTCCCCGACCCGCTTGACTTGACTGGACCTACACGCCTGACCTCTCCACTCAGGTATGCATGCATATGGGTGCTTCCCTTCCCTTAACTGCGTGTGAGTTGCTGCCAGTCCGCCAAACAGGGGCGGGCTGCCCTTCATGAGCAGGGGAGTCACAGCAGACACCATCGACATTCCTGTCCCCAACCTGCTTGACTTGACCGGACCCTACAATCCGGACCTCAGCACTCAGGTACGCATGTCTGTGGGTGGGTGGGCGGGTGCACGGGTGGGGTGGGTGTGATTGCGTGAGTTGATGCCAAACAGGGGCGGGCTGCCCTTCATGAGCACCGGATCCACAGTAGACACTATCGATATTCCTGTTCCGGACCCGCTTGACCTCACAGGGCCATACACGCCTGATCTCTCCACTCATGTATGCGGGCATGCGAGCAACCCTCTTTCTTCCTCCCCTCTCCCAACTCCACATTCATTTCCCCCCAGATTCCCTGGGAGAAGAAGGAATCGCGGGCAGTCTTTAGAGGGAAGACAACCAACTACGAGCTCCTACCAGCAGGCAACTGGGGCGCCAACCCCCGCATCCGCCTGCACCTCATGTCCCCCGCGGCGCCCCACCTGATGGATGCTTGCATCAATTCGTGGTCCAAGGTGGAGCAACCCTCTTTCTTCCTCCCCTCTCCCAACTCCACATTCATTTCCCCCCAGATTCCCTGGGAGAAGAAGGAATCGCGGGCAGTCTTTAGAGGGAAGACAACCAACTACGAGCTCCTACCAGCAGGCAACTGGGGCGCCAACCCCCGCATCCGCCTGCACCTCATGTCCCCCGCGGCGCCCCACCTGATGGATGCTTGCATCAATTCGTGGTCCAAGGTGGAGCAACCCTCTTTCTTCCTCCCCTCTCCCAACTCCACATTCATTTCCCCCCAGATTCCCTGGGAGAAGAAGGAATCGCGGGCAGTCTTTAGAGGGAAGACAACCAACTACGAGCTCCTACCAGCAGGCAACTGGGGCGCCAACCCCCGCATCCGCCTGCACCTCATGTCCCCCGCGGCGCCCCACCTGATGGATGCTTGCATCAATTCGTGGTCCAAGGTGGAGCAACCCTCTTTCTTCCTCCCCTCTCCCAACTCCACATTCATTTCCCCCCAGATTCCCTGGGAGAAGAAGGAATCGCGGGCAGTCTTTAGAGGGAAGACAACCAACTACGAGCTCCTACCAGCAGGCAACTGGGGCGCCAACCCCCGCATCCGCCTGCACCTCATGTCCCCCGCGGCGCCCCACCTGATGGATGCTTGCATCAATTCGTGGTCCAAGGTGGAGCAACCCTCTTTCTTCCTCCCCTCTCCCAACTCCACATTCATTTCCCCCCAGATTCCCTGGGAGAAGAAGGAATCGCGGGCAGTCTTTAGAGGGAAGACAACCAACTACGAGCTCCTACCAGCAGGCAACTGGGGCGCCAACCCCCGCATCCGCCTGCACCTCATGTCCCCCGCGGCGCCCCACCTGATGGATGCTTGCATCAATTCGTGGTCCAAGGTGGAGCAACCCTCTTTCTTCCTCCCCTCTCCCAACTCCACATTCATTTCCCCCCAGATTCCCTGGGAGAAGAAGGAATCGCGGGCAGTCTTTAGAGGGAAGACAACCAACTACGAGCTCCTACCAGCAGGCAACTGGGGCGCCAACCCCCGCATCCGCCTGCACCTCATGTCCCCCGCGGCGCCCCACCTGATGGATGCTTGCATCAATTCGTGGTCCAAGGTGGAGCAACCCTCTTTCTTCCTCCCCTCTCCCAACTCCACATTCATTTCCCCCAGATTCCCTGGGAGAAAAAAGAGTCACGTGCGGTGTTCCGAGGCAAAACTACCAACTATGAGCTCCTTCCAGGTGGAAACTGGGGCGCCAACCCGCGCATCCGCCTACATTTAATGTCCCCCGCAGCACCCCACCTGATGGATGCGCGCATCAACGCGTGGTCCAAGGTGGAGCAGCATGTGATTAAAAGGATAGTGAAGGACGGGGTCAGGCTCGCCAGGAAGATGAACTTTCAGCAGTTCAACGCGTTCAAGTACCAGGTGGGAGGAAGGGGGGAGGGGGGGGTTGCACGTGTGTGTGTGCCTGTTTCTGCATGTGTGTCCTTTCCTTTTCCTTCACTCTCCCCATTGTTCCATCTCCTTCCTACAGATAGTGGCCTTTCGGGGTGGGGGGGGAGGGGCAGTTGTGGCATGTTTGAAGTGCTGTGCTCGATTCTCCACCCAGCTCCAATCCAACCAGCTCATCATAAGGCAACACACGCCCATGCTGCACGTCCCTTCCACCAGCCTCCTCCCTTCCCTCACCCCTTCCCCACTACTCTTATCCGCTTCTCTCATCTATGACAGATAGTGGCGGATGGAGGGGGAGGCATTTGTCGCAGGTGTGGGGTGCTGCGATCCAACCAGCTAATCATAAGGCAGCACACGCCCATGCTGCAGCTCTACCCGCCTTCCTCCTTCCCCCGTTCTCCCGTTAGCCCCCTTTCCCCAAGTAACGGCGTTTGTCGCACCCATGGCATAATGTGCTCAACTTTCCACTCCTTACTTCCTCCTTTCTCCTCCCTTCCCCTGTCTTTTCACGCTTACATTCCCCAGATAGTAGCGGATGGGGGGGGGGGCAGTTGTCGCACGTGTGGGGTGCTGCGATCCAACCAGCTCATCATAAGGCAACACACGCCCATGCTGCAGTTCTACGAGCCTCTGCTGCAGGATCGGGTGCACTGGCTCGCCACCTCCCGAACGTAAGTCTCTGGTTCGTCACCTTACAAACGTGAGTCACTTGCTTGTTATGCATCTATTTTTTCTATCTTGCAGCTCAACCCACTCCTTTCAATCCCCCTCTATTCCTCCAATAAATGTACCCCTTCAAAACCCTCTGCAACCCTTCGAAACCCCTTCTTCCAGCTTCTCAGACCTACAAGAGGCGATCATATGGCACAGCAGCACGACAAGGCAGTTCTAAGGATGGTGGAGGCAGCCAATCGGTTTGCATACCATGCATGCACGTGGCACGGGCGCATGCTGTACTGGGCTCTTCTTCTCGTGAAATACCAAGACGTCATGGCTGAACCTGAAAGCGTTTCAAAGCCTGCCCAGCTGTGCTTGAAACCGTGAGTTTCAGAACGAGGGGAGGGGAGCGAGGGAGGGTGGTAGGGTCTGCGTAGGTGGGTGGTGGCACGAGCGCATGCTGTACTCCAGTACCAAAACGTCATGGCTGAGCCCGAAAGGGTTTCGAGGCCCTCTCAGCTATGCTTGAAACCGTGAGTTTCAGAACGAGGGGCTGTGCGGGTGGGTGGTGGCACGAGCGCATGCTGTACTCATGGCTCTTGTGAAATACCAGGACGTCATGGCTGAGCGAGGTGACTTTTGAGTCGACTCAAAAGTCACTTCTGTACTCAAGTACACAGGCGTCATGGCTGAGCCTGAACAAGTTTCGCAGCCTACCCAGCTATGCTCTAAACCGCGAGGGTCAAAACTAGGGAAGGGGAGATAGGGAGAGAAGTAGGGTATGTGTGCGTGGTGGTGGTGGCACGGGTGCATGCAATACTGAACTCTTCTTATCATCGAGTACCAAGTCGTTTTGGCTGAACCCGAGAGAGTGTCCCAGCCTACCCAGCTGAACCGTGGGCACGTGTAGAAAGTAGATTTTTGAGACGTCTCAAAAATCTACTTTCTACACGTGGATCATCAAGTACCAAGTCGTTTTGGCTGAACCCGAGAGAGTGTCTCAGACTACCCAGCTGAACCGTGGGCAAGCCTACTCCCAGGTCAAGAGGGATAGGGGGAAGAAGACTCACATAGAGTCGTTTTTTTAGAATTCTCAAAAACACTTGTAGTAAGAGGGGTAGTGGGAGGATAACTTGCACAGAGTCGTTTTTTCCCTTCCCTTCCACACGTCATCCCCATAGCAGCATCGTGGCACCAACAGGGGTGGAGAAGGATTTGGCGTCGGTCACATGCAGCGACCCTGACAGGGAGAATCAGAGAAGCAGCTGGGAGAGTGCAGGCTAACTTGTCTCAACTCCCCAACACTCCCCTTTTCCCCCCATCGCCCCCCTCATTGGCAGCATCGTGGCACCAACAGGGGTGTAGAAGGATTCGGCGTCGGTCACATGCAGCGACCCTGACAGGGAGAATCAGAGAAGCAGCTGGGAGAGTGCAGGCTAACTTGTCTCAACTCCCCAACACTCCCCTTTTCCCCCCATCGCCCCCCTCATTGGCAGCATCGTGGCACCAACAGGGGTGTAGAAGGATTCGGCGTCGGTCACATGCAGCGACCCTGACAGGGAGAATCAGAGAAGCAGCTGGGAGAGTGCAGGCTAACTTGTCTCAACTCCCCAACACTCCCCTTTTCCCCCCATCGCCCCCCTCATTGGCAGCATCGTGGCACCAACAGGGGTGTAGAAGGATTCGGCGTCGGTCACATGCAGCGACCCTGACAGGGAGAATCAGAGAAGCAGCTGGGAGAGTGCAGGCTAACCTGTCTCAACTCCCCAACACTCCCCTTTTCCCCCCATCGCCCCCCTCATTGGCAGCATCGTGGCACCAACAGGGGTGTAGAAGGATTCGGCGTCGGTCACATGCAGCGACCCTGACAGGGAGAATCAGAGAAGCAGCTGGGAGAGTGCAGGCTAACCTGTCTCAACTCCCCAACACTCCCCTTTTCCCCCCATCGCCCCCCTCATTGGCAGCATCGTGGCACCAACAGGGGTGTAGAAGGATTCGGCGTCGGTCACATGCAGCGACCCTGACAGGGAGAATCAGAGAAGCAGCTGGGAGAGTGCAGGCTAACCTGTCTCAACTCCCCAACACTCCCCTTTTCCCCCCATCGCCCCCCTCATTGGCAGCATCGTGGCACCAACAGGGGTGTAGAAGGATTCGGCGTCGGTCACATGCAGCGACCCTGACAGGGAGAATCAGAGAAGCAGCTGGGAGAGTGCAGGCTAACTTGTCTCAACTCCCCAACACTCCCCTTTTCCCCCCATCGCCCCCCTCATTGGCAGCATCGTGGCACCAACAGGGGTGTAGAAGGATTCGGCGTCGGTCACATGCAGCGACCCTGACAGGGAGAATCAGAGAAGCAGCTGGGAGAGTGCAGGCTAACTTGTCTCAACTCCCCAACACTCCCCTTTTCCCCCCATCGCCCCCCTCATTGGCAGCATCGTGGCACCAACAGGGGTGTAGAAGGATTCGGCGTCGGTCACATGCAGCGACCCTGACAGGGAGAATCAGAGAAGCAGCTGGGAGAGTGCAGGCTAACCTGTCTCAACTCCCCAACACTCCCCTTTTCCCCCCATCGCCCCCCTCATTGGCAGCATCGTGGCACCAACAGGGGTGTAGAAGGATTCGGCGTCGGTCACATGCAGCGACCCTGACAGGGAGAATCAGAGAAGCAGCTGGGAGAGTGCAGGCTAACCTGTCTCAACTCCCCAACACTCCCCTTTTCCCCCCATCGCCCCCCTCCTTGGCAGCATCGTGGCACCAACAGGGGTGTAGAAGGATTCGGCGTCGGTCACATGCAGCGACCCTGACAGGGAGAAGCAGCAACAGGGGTGGAGAAGGGCCCAGCATCAGTCACATGCAGAGACCCTCAACTCCCTGGCAGGGAGAAGCAGCAACAGGCAAAACCTTCGCCACTCTCAACTCTCCTTCCACCATTGCTTCCCTTTTCTCCCCTTCTCCCCCTCCCCTCCATCGCAGCATCGTGGCAGCAACAGGGATAGAGAAGGATCCGGCATCAGTCACATGCAGCGACCCTGGCAGGGAGACAAAGCAGCTTGAGTGAACAGGAAACTCCATTGCCACTCCCAACACTTTGCCTTCCTTCCTTCCCTCCCTCCATCGCAGCATCGTGGCAGCAACAGGGGTGGAGAAGGACCCAGCATCAGTCTCTTGCAGCAACCCTGGCAGGGAGAAGCAACAACCAGAGTGTGCTTTCTTCTGTGCTGGGGGTATTATCCCCCCAGAAAGCTTCAAGTGGTTACCAGCTGAGTCGCTTGACAAACTGGAGAGAGTCGGACCTCCGTAACACATGGTAACACGTTGCATTATTCATTCCTGTATAACGTTACTGCATACTGGTCACCATATCAAGGCAATGCAGAGAGAGAAAGGTGGATTTCCATTCTTTTAATTGCGAATATTCAGTACACGGGGGAAGGATGTCTGGGCAGAGCAAGGACCTGGCATCGGCAAGCAAAGCCTTTTGAGGCGCCCTAAAAGTCGTGTTGTAAGGGATGTCTGTGCAATGACCTTTCAATGCCAATGTCAGGCAGAATTGCGCACTGCATACCCAACATGTTACATGCCTAAAGCTGAGTGAGCAATGTAAGCAGCACAACACAATTCAAGTGGGCACATGGGTATGGCAAGGTATTGCCAGATATAGCATGATACAGTAGGTATGCGGTTCAGCCCTCTTCTCCAAGGCAGTAAGATATCTCATGGTTGGATGCCATCGGTACTACAGTAATTTCCTGGGTTGCATAGTGAATGGCAGCTAACAAACAACCGTAAATTACTAAAGCCCTGCCCTTATGGCTTCTTTCAGTGGCCTAAGGGCTTCAGCCCAGCCACTCACGTTCCAAAAACACAATAGCTCACATAATTTGCCAACTTATCATTATTAAGACAAAGACAAATGGGTACACCACCATATCAATCAATCCTACAGAACAGTATGCAGCAATATATTGTAAACAAACTGCGCATAAAAATCCATGGGCCCTGGTGTACAGTAATGCAGGCAATCCCGAGGCGTTTCTTCAAACCAGCTGGTATGCCCATCCGGCCTCAAGGCCATCACCCCCTCCACATCCATATAAATCCCTCCCACCTCCGCAACCAACCGCCTCGCCAGCTCATTTTGCCGCACAAACCCGCCCCAATTAAACGGCAAAATCTCCTTTGGCTGTCGTTCGGCCAACGGCCCTAAATTCTCCGTACAGTTAAAATGGCCCGGGGGAGTGTTCCTGTAGATAATTAGCTTATCCGGAAAATTCCTCCGGACGAATCGCAGCGCGCGTCGCACGTCCCTCACGTAAGCCTCATCATCCGTGAAATGGGCTCCTCTATTGATTAGGAGCACGTCAGAGTCGACTAATGCGCCGTGCTGGGACCAGGGAACACTTTCTTTGGCAACGAATGTGTCTCCCACTGTGAGCCAGCGGTTGGAGGTGAAATGCATGGCGAACGCACCCGCGTCGCTGCTGCTGCTGCCGTTTGTGCCAATGTCCCCTGCTGCTGCAGCAGCAGCAGCACCGGCATCAGCAGCACCGGCATCAGCAGCAGCACCCACAGCACTGGCACCAGCAGCAGCAGGATTTTCAGCAAAGGCCCCAGGGCAAACGTCCTGCGAGGTGTTGAAGAAGTTCATATGGCAGTGCACGTGCGGTTTATGCTCCACCCACTGATAGCAAATCGTGCGGTTTAAAGCCCACGCCGCACTCTTCTTAACGTGCCACAGCATATGGTTGAGAAACGTGGCAGCAAACAGGTTCTGAAGGGAGTCTCCTACAATGTAGACTGTGAATCCCTTGTGCATTCTCTGTGGATCATCCATCCATCGCTCCCCTGCTGCTGCTGCTGCCGCTGCTAACGAGGACGAGTCGTTGCTCCAGAGCCTGTCGCGCCTTGTTTCGGCTGCCCCAGCTGCCCGCTTGCAAAAATCCAGCCCGTCAAATTTCTTCCACACTGGAACCTCCTCGTTTGTATCTTCTGCCCCAGCAGCAGCACCAGCAGAAGCAGCTTCCGGACCTAACTCTGCCTCTACCACTTTCTTAAGCGCCGCAGCCCCACACTTATCCTCCGGAACCAAATACTCGTACTTAAGTGTTTCTCTTACCGTCCACTTATCCGGACTCGTCCCTTTCAACACCAGCTCATCGGCTCCCCACGTCGCTTTCCCCTTGCGCTTCTCCACCTGCTTGTGATCGCACATGTTCATAAACCCCGTGTATTCCCAGGGGAGAGTGCGAGGCGTGGCGTTAAACACCCACCTCCCCTCCCTCAACACACACTCCATCCACTTGTTGAAAAGAACCACCTGTCGCTTGGTGTGGAGCCTAGTGCCGGGGATATGATCCGAGTAATCCGGAAACAGAGGAGGAGCACGGGACTTTCCCTCTGCTGTCTTGTTCCCACTCCCCTCCTCACTCACACCCCCTCCTGCTCCTTCTCCTCCTTGCCCTCCTCCCGCCCCGTCCTCTGTCTCGTCCTTTTCAGGCGGCACAGTGAGATTAAACAGCCGCGTTTCAAACGCCCCTGCGCCCCCCTCGGCTTCTGCAATCTTCTCCCTGTGCTCGTCCCATTGCTGCTCGTTCAGCTCGTACCAGGGGGAGGGTTGCGGCCCTTCGTCCTTCTCTGACCCTGGGGAGCTGCGTGTGGGGTGGGTGACAACCACTGCAGGTGGTGGTGCTGCTGCTGCTGGTGATGCTGGTGGTGGTGATGGTGGTGGTTGCATTGATTGTGGTGGTGGTGCTGCTGCTGCTGCTGCTGGTGATGGTGGTGGTGGGGATGGGGAAGGGGATGAGGTTACAGAGGAGGCAGAAGAAGCTGCACCAGGTGCTGTTCCTCCTCCTGCACCGCCTTCCACCGCTCCCGACCGTTTGACATCGCTGAAGTGTGCGCTCATGATCTCATCAAGTGCCCCCTCCACCAGTTGAAGCCTGCACGACATACCGCTGCCTAATCCAGCTGTTCCCGCTGATCCCGTTGCTCCCGCTGATTCCGCTGTTCCTGCCGATCCTGCTGACTCAGCCGCTGCCCCTGCTGCCCCTGTTGCATCAACGCCAGCAGGGCTCTTCAGGGAAGGATCACAGGGCACGGCGTATCAGACTATCCCTGCTGCTGCTGCCAGCGTGCCAAACCCTTCAGGGTCTATGGCCGAACCTGGTGTGACATGGTGTGACGGGGAAGTTACGCAAAACAGGTAAAGAATAATAAGTGGCTGAGGCAGTGCAAGAACCACTGGTGCATACCGAACGATGCCGCCCGCTGCTGCTGCTAAAGTGCCGAACCCTTCAGGGTTTAAAACAGAACCTGGTCCTGGTGAAATATGGTAAACCAAGACCAGGGCAGGAAGAGGAGGTGGGAGAGGGCGCGAAGGGAGGAGAGGGCGAGAAGCAGGGAGAGAGGGCAGCAGTCAACTGGGGGTAGATAACTGAGAGTATGAGCGGTGGCGTTACCAACAGGAGCGAAAGTGCTGAGAGCAAGAGGCGGAAGCAGCTCGAGCAGGGTGGGTTTTTGAGAATTCTAAAAAATCGCTCAAAAGTGCTGAGAGCAGGAGACGGAAGCAGCTTGAGCAGGGTGGCATTGATGGGCAGGAAGAGGGGGGAGGAATGGAAGAGGAGGGTGGAGAGGAAGAGGAGGGAGGAGAGGAAGAGGAGGGAGGAGAGGAAGAGGAGGGAGGAGAGGAAGAGGAGGGAGGAGAGGAAGAGGAGGGAGGAAAGGAAGAGGAGGGAGGAAAGGAAGAGGGAGGAATGGAAGAGGGGAGACGAGAGGAAGAGGGGGGAGGAGACAAATAGAAGTTTGAGCGACATTACCACCAGCAGGAGCCGAGGTGGTATTGAGAGCAGGGGGCGGAAGCAGCTCGAGCAGCGCAGCATTGAAGGGCAGAAAGAGGAGGGAGGAGAGTGCGAGGCTGGAGGGGCCGATGAGAAGACGGGCTCGATTGAAGAGCTTCTTGACTGATGGGGGAGGGGAAGAGGGAGGGAGATGAATGAAGGGGAAGGAAAGTGGGGAAACACTGTGATGAGGCAAGGGCGTGAGAGTGCGAGGCTGGAGGGGTTGATGAGCAGACGGGCTCGATTGAAGAGCTTCTTGACTGGTGGGGGAGGGGAAGAGGGAGCGGAAGAGGGAGAGGAGGGAGGGCAAAGAAGGGAGAGAAGACAAGGGCATATAAAGAGGCCCTGAACACCAATAAAAACCACACAATACTAGGAAAAAAACACACAATAGCATGACATCTAATCAGATAAATTAGAATCTCACCATCATCCATGCCCATATGCCCCTGATAGCTCTCCACCCTCTCCGCCCCAAACCCCTCCACCACCAGCGTCTCAATCTCCTCCTCCATCCCCACAAAAACTCAAAACCACAATAAAATAAAATAAAATAAAATCAAATCAAATTGAATCAAATCAAATCAAATCTCACCGTCGTCCATGCCCATGTGCCCCTGATAGCTCTCCACTCTCTCCGCCCCAAACCTCTCCACCACCACCCTTTCAATCTCCTCCTCCTCCTCCACCCCCCCCCCCACTCCCCCTCCTCCCCCCCCACTCTCCCTCGCTCCCCCTAACCCCGTCCGCACCACCACCACCAGCCACTCCCCCCCTGATGAGAGCCCATCCGCGGAAAGAAAGAGGGGCGGGGGGGAGTGGGGTTTGAAGGAGGGGAGGAAGGAGGGGAGGCCGTCTGGGGGGAGGAAGTGGCGGGCGCGGGCTAGGCGGAGGAGAGAGGGGGAGGGGGAGGCGCAGGAGAGGAACGAGGGCTGCCTGGGGGAACGGGGGGTGGGGTGGTGTGGGGGGAGAGGGGGAAAGAGGGGAGCGCAGAGGAAGAGGGGAGTAAGGTGTTACGCAGAGGAAAGAGGGGAAGAAAGAGGGGAAGAAAGAGGGGAAGAAAGAGGGGAGCGAGGGGAGGGAGGCCGGGAGGAAGGAGGGAAGGAACGAGAGGGGGAGGAAGGGGCGGGCGCGGGGGAGGCGGAGGAGGGAGGGGGAAGGGGAGGGGCAGGAGAGGTATGAGGGCTGCCTGGGGGGAGTGGGGGAGGGGAGATGAATTGGGGGGGAGGGGAGAAGGGGGGAGGAGGGTGTGAAAGTGAGACAAGAGCAGAAAGATACACAATGACAGGAAGGACAGAATGAAGGGCGGAAGGCCGTGGGGGGGGAGGAAGTGGCGGGTGCGTTGGGGGGAGAGAGGGGAAAAAGGGGGGGAAGATGGGGAACAAGGGGAGGGTGGTTGAAGCGGACACAAAGAGGGGGTGAGTGAGTCTCCCTTGCCCCGTCTCCCCCTCCCCTCCCCCTCCGTGCCCAAACTAACCTCAAAGTCAGTCAACTCTAAAGTCAATAAGAGCACTCACGACAAAGAGAAAGTGCACGAAGAGGGGGTGTGCCTCCCTCGCTTCGTCCCCTCCCCCCTGGCCGAACTTTGGGGGAGAGTGCAGTGCTCGTGAGGCGAGGTCGAATCCAAATAGCTGGTGGCTCATGATGCGAAGAGACTGGGGGAGACGGGGGAAGGGGGGGAGGGAAGGGTTTAGGGAGTGTGGCGTCTCTGTTTTCCGCCATATGATTAGGCGAGCAGCAGCAGTAGACGACTTTTGAGACGTCTCAAAAGGGTTTAGGGAGTGTGGCGTCTCTGTTTTCCGCCATATGATTAGGCGAGCAGCAGCAGTAGACGACTTTTGAGACGTCTCAAAAGGGTTTAGGGAGTGTGGCGTCTCTGTTTTCCGCCATATGATTAGGCGAGCAGCAGCAGTAGACGACTTTTGAGACGTCTCAAAAGGGTTTAGGGAGTGTGGCGTCTCTGTTTTCCGCCATATGATTAGGCGAGCAGCAGCAGTAGACGACTTTTGAGACGTCTCAAAAGGGTTTAGGGAGTGTGGCGTCTCTGTTTTCCGCCATATGATTAGGCGAGCAGCAGCAGTAGACGACTTTTGAGACGTCTCAAAAGGGTTTAGGGAGTGTGGCGTCTCTGTTTTCCGCCATATGATTAGGCGAGCAGCAGCAGTAGACGACTTTTGAGACGTCTCAAAAGGGTTTAGGGAGTGTGACGTCTCTGTTTTCCCTCCCACGGCCAAACTTTGGGGGAGAGTGCAGTGCTCGTGAGGCAAGGTCGAAGCCTAACAGCTGGTGACTTATGATGCGAAGGGACTGGTGGGGTGAAGGGGGTGGGAGAGGGGGAAGGAGAACGCAATATGGAGCGAGGAAGAGGGAAGGGTGAAGGGGAAGGGGGAAAGTGCAGTGCCCGTGAGGCCAGGTCGAAGCTAAAGGCGAAGGGACTGGTGGAGAGGGGAAAGGAAAGGACGAGGAAAGAGGAAGCGCATGAAGAGAAGAGAGGTTAAGCCTCCGTCGTACCGTCTCTGTCACACCGTGCAGAGTGCAGTGCCCACGAGGCAAGGTCGAATCCAGATAGCTGATGGCTCATGAGACGTAGCGACTGGGAGGCAAGGTTCAAAAATACGACCGTATTTTTGAAAATTTACCGTAAATTACGGTATCGTAATTTACGGTCGTAAATTACGGTAAAAAACGGTTCGACCTTGCAAAATTGGGTTGGTTCAAAAATACGGTCGTAAATTACGACCGAAATTTTGAAACCGAGTTTATGTCTAGCGAATTTCGACATTTCCCAACCGTCACCCTGCTTGTGAGAAATTTCGTGCACCCAAATCCACGCGAGTGTGTTTTTTTCCCGCATAGTCTGGGGATGGAGTAGGAGCAGATTTAGCCTAAAGGTAGGTACTACTAGGTAGGCTTAGCAATGGTAGTGGTGTAGTGGTCCATTATAGGCTTGTTTCTCTGTAGTGTAGTTTGTTGTCGTCTTCCTAGTCATAGTTGCAAGCATTCTTGAAGTTTCTGAAAAAAAAACTGCCGCAAAAAAAGTCCATTAAAAAAACGACCGTATTTTTGCCAAAACCACCGTAAATTACGACCGTAATTTACGAGCCATAATTTACAGTTACCGTATTTTTGAACCTTGCTGGGAGGTGAAAGGGTGGAGCGAGGAGGGAAGGGGAAGTGCACGAATAGAGGTTGAGAGCACACCTTTCTCGGTGTCGGTCCCCCCCTTTTCCTCCGAGCTGAATAGAGGAAGAGAGGGACGAGAGCCAAGGTGGAAACCAAAGAGCTGGTGGCTCATGAGGCGAAGGGGCTGGGGGAAAAGGGGGGAAGGGAAGAGGGAAGGTAAATTGCACAAATAAAGGTTGATCATCCCTTGGCCGGCAAGCGGATGGGCATGGCATGGCATGGCATGGCACGAACGTACCTGCGAGAAGGGCAGCAGCATGGGGTAGTGTTCGAAACTCGGCATGGCATCATGAACCGCCATGAGTCCCGGTAAAAGCCACTCCACCATCCACCTATAGATCGCCGCTCGCCCGCGCACAGACTCCCCCCTTGCCTCGCGCCCCTCCCCGCGCTCTTCCCCCTCCGCGCCTGCTGCTTCCCCGTGCGCGCGCGTGTGCGCGGATGTGCTTATATGGGGGGGAAAGAGATGCAACACGTGCTCGTATACCACCGCTGTAGTCCCCTTCGGATAAGAGAACTCGCTCGTGGCGCCCTCTCCTGGTTTTCCAACCACGTCGGATCCACGTGGACCCCCGCCGAAGACGAAGCGGTGCGTGCCGTTGAACACGTGGCCGTGCAGATCGACGTACACGTCACGAAGCATGATGACGTGGCCGGGGTAAGGTGGCACCACGCATGACTCTAGCTTCCCGCTTCCCCCAGCAGCCCCAGCGGCGGCGGCGGCGGCGGAGCTTGCGCCAGCGGCGGAAGGATCGACGGAAGGTTTTTGCTGAGGGCATGTGCGGAACCACGGGGGATGCGCGGCGGAAGCTCCCCCCGCGCGGAGCTTCTCAATGGCGGAACCATCCAGACAATTGGACACGGGGGTAGCGTCAGAGAGTAGATTAAAGACCATGTCTTCAATCGTCTTTTCCACTGCTGACGTCATCAGAGGTTTGCTTTCGCAGAGCGCGAAATTCCCCGAGCCGCTGCCGAAAGGAGTGGTTCCTTCGCAAATGTGGAACTCGGGGCATTTCCCGGCTTTGCAGCCGCCCGATGCGATGCTCTCGATCACGGAAGGATCTGAGCCGTCCAGGTGGATCGGGATAAGATTCTGACCGTTGATGTCCTCGGAAATTGCCGTGACTCCTTGGTGCTTTTCTCTTATCGGGGCTCCAGGGTCGATCGCGGCTGCTCCGGAAGACGACGGCTCTTGCTGAGCTAGCGATACTATAGCGAAGCAGGCGAGCGACGCTATAACGGAGCACGCGGTATTCAGTACGCGTGACGGGAAGAGAGACCGCGGAAGGATCGTACGGCCTACCATGGCTGTGTTGGCAAATCAACCAATGTAGAAAAAAAGGAAAATAAGAAAAGAGAAAAACAGCCCAAAAGCACGGGCGATCAACCGACAATCCGAAACGCCATGATGATCGGATTGGAAAGAACAGCCGGCATTGACTGCACGGCAGCCATAAGTGTCAGTCAATTGTGATATATGGGAGGAAAGGGGAGTCCTGATAAGTTACTACTCTGGTCGGCATTATCTCGATGCCAATAGCAGAAGTGGTTGGAAGGTAAGTGCTCCGCTTTAAGGCGAACTCTTTACAGTGCAAGCGAGAGAAAAGAAATACTTCAGCCTGTCACCTTCAAGATACGCATTCACTCCCTTCACCTTTTGCTATGCTGCCAAAACTAGAGACTCTGATTATAAGGCATTACACTACAATAATGGTAGAACGAAAAATAATATTATATAATAACATGCCAGCAGCTAAACTATGTATGTACCGTAGTGGTCTCATTGTGTGTTCTTTGCCATCTCTTCATGGCTTGAAGTGAAAGCACTCTAAACGATCTAGCACCAACCAAAAGATCCAGACGCCTAAAATTGGGAGTGGGAGGAGGGAGGGTGGAAGGAGCAGGAGAAAAACCACTCGTGTACATGCTAGCTCGAGTGCTAGAATCGACCCCTTGTGTCTCATCTGTATCATCACGTGCGGCAGCAGCATTGTCGCCACTGTCACTCGCAAGAGGTGGGGGATACAACCCAAGGTCAATATACAATCCTGTGGTCCCACCACCAGCCCTGCTATGTCTCTTGCTGCTGCTAGGGCTGTTACGGTTGCTGCTGCTGCTGGTACTGGTACTGCTGCTGCTGCTGGTACTGCTTCGGGAAAATCGCCTGGCAAGATGTAATGACTCCTCTTCCCCCGAGAAACTCCCTGGATTCAAAGCAGCAGCGAACCTCTCTTCAAATTCTGCTGAATTCACCTGATCTCCCACCTGCTCATCCACCTGCTCCCCCACGTGACCTCCCATGGCACCTCCCATCTGTTGCCCCACCTGTTCCCCCACCTGCTCAGCCACCTGGCACTGTTCATCCTGCAACGGGCACTGTAGCGCAACAGCATGATCGACCTGAAAGAGACTAGCCCAGCGGCCATAGTCAGAGGCGGGGTTGAGGTTGCGGGCTGGCAGGAGGAAGGGAGAGGGGCGCGCGGGGTAGATTTCTAGGACCTGGGCTTTGGGTGGTAACCAGATGAGGTTACTCATGCCCGCTCCTGATGGGGGAGGGAGGAGGGGCGGAAGGGAAGGAGGGCGCGAGAGAGGGAAGGAGAAAGGGAAGTGGGGAGGGAGTGTGAGGCATGGCACTGTATGGCAACAGAATGATCGACCTGAAAGAGGCGGGTCCAGCGGCCATAGTCAGAGGCGGGGTTGAGGTTGCGAGCAGGGAGGAGGAAGGGAGAGGGGCGCGCGGGGTAGATTTCCAAGACTTGAGCATGTGGTGGTAACCAGATGAGGTTACTCATGCCCGCTCCTGAGGAAGGCAAGGGGGAGAGGAGGGAATGAAGGGAGGAAGGGAGGAAGGGAGGAAGGGAGGGAAAAAGGGACAGAGGAAGGGAGGAAAGGAGGGAGTGTGAGGCATGGAAGTGGCGGGCCCAGCGGCCATAGTCAGAGGCGGGGTTGAGGTTGCGAGCAGGGAGGAGGGAGGGAGAGGGGCGTGTCGGATAGATTTCTAGCACCTGGGCGTGTGGTGGTAAGTTGGTAACCAGATGAGGTTACTCATGCCCGCTCCTGAGGGGGGAGGGGGAAGTGCGGGGCCGAGGGGGGAGGGCGGGAGGGAAGGAAGGAGGGAGGGAGGGAGGGAGGGAGGGAGGGCGTGTGAGGAATCGCAACAGTATGATCGACCTGAAAGAGGTGGGTCCAGCGGCCGTAGTCGGAGGCGGGGTTGAGGTTGCGAGCAGGCAAGAGGAAGGGGGTGGGGCGTGCGGGATAGATCTCCAAGACTTGCACATGGGGTGGTAACCAGATGAGGTTACTCATGCCCTCACCTGGGGAGGGTAAGGGGAGAGAAGAAGGGGGGAAAGAAGGAGGGAGGGAGGGAGGGAGGGCGTGTGAGGCATGGCGCTCTACCCCAACAGCATGATCGACCTGAAAGAGGCTGGCCCAGCGGCCATAGTCAGAGGCGGGGATGAGGTTGCGAGCAGGCAGGAGGAAGGGGGAGGGGCGCGCGGGGTAGATTTCGAGGACCTGGGCTTTGGGTGGTAACCAGATGAGGTTACTCATGCCTGCACCTGCGGAGGTGGGTATGGAAATGGGGAGGGAGGGAGGGAGGGAGGGAGGGAGGGAGGGAGGGAGGGAGGAGTTGCAACCTCACTCTCGAAACACACTCACCGTGACTGCCTGCCAGCACGTCCAGCTGGTGGGCCTCACCAATCTGCAGCCACAGGGGCAAGTACATGTGGGAGGATACGCTAACACCATGGCTTGCAGATACCTCAAGAGGGAACTCTAGAAACACACTCACCGTGACTCCCTGCCAGCACATCTAGCTGGTGTGCCTCTCGAATCTGCTGCCCCACGTCAAACTTTTCAAACTGCAGCACACGCACCTCGAACCCTGCTGACTCCGCTGCTCTTACCAGATCTGCTTACAGAGGAGATATGGGTGGAATGAGGGAATCCGGGGGGCGGGATAAGTGAACAAGATCGTCAGAATACCGAGCGTACGAGAAAAAAAACGATCTTTAATCTTTTAGACCAGAGGAAACAGGCTCGTACGTACTCACACTCACCTTCGTGCTCAGACTCTCACCTGCAGCAACGAGATGGTTATTGAGACAACTAAACAGTCGTACCATAGTTGGCATGGCACGTGGTAGGTGCCACCTGGCAGGTGGCAGAGGCGGTGGGTCTTATCGCGAGCGACGATGCCCATAGAGGGCGCGTAAGGGGAGGGGCGAGAATCAGACTGATGACAGCGTTGATGGGAATCGTGACTAGGGCTCTCCTCTAAGGCTCACATGGTAGGTGGCAGAGCCGGCGGGTCTTATCCCGAGCGATGATGCCCATTAGAGGGCGTGCTGAGTGAGGGCGAGACGATACTGATGATGATGATGAAATTGCAGAGAGTGTTGTTGATGCTGACGTGGAGAGTGGCGCTGACGTGGCGGATGGCAAAGAGGACGACGACGAGGAGGCGGACGTTGAGGGTTGGAAATCGTGTGGTGGAAAATTGCTGCCGGAGGGAAGGGAGGTGGGAATGGAAGAGTGGTGGGGGAAGGAGGGAAAAAGGGGGGTTTGCAGGATGAAAGGGGAATGGAGGATTGAAGAAAATGATCACCAAAGGGTAATCACGGGTCTCAACTGTCTTCTATCTCCCGAGCGAGGACCGAAGCCCGTCGCCTAAATGCCTGAAATGACTCAACCGGCAGCAGAGAGGGCCGTCTCTGCAGCAACATGAATCCTAAATGCCTAAATGCCTAAATGCCTAAATGCCTAAATGCTTAAATGCCTATCATGCATCTCACCTCTCGTCTATCACCACCCCCAGCCTTAACTCATCATAGACGAGAGGTGACTCTATGATGTAAAGGCCAGGGCTCGCTGCCTTCACTCTTGGAACACAGCAACCGGCAGCAGTGGGCCAGGGAAGAAGGCCGGGGGCAGACCCAGGAAGGCGCGGCGCGGCGGCAGCAAACGAAGGGGGGGGGGAGTGGGGGTTGGTGGATGGGGGATTGGGGGTCATTGTGCGTCTCTCTCATTGAGGACGCCCCCGGCGTCCTCTGTGATCCCTGCAGGTGACAGAGCCCGCCGTCTAAACTCCTGAAACGATTCGACTGGCAGCAAGGGGGGCCATCTTTGCAGCAGCGGGCCGGGGGAGAACGCCGGGGGCAGACCCAGGAAGGCATGGCGGTAGCAGACGAAGGGGGAGGAGGGAAGGGGGCGGGAGTGGGGGGGAATGAGGGAAAACACGCATCTCACCTGTCCTCTGATCCCTGCAAGTGACAGAGCCCGCCGTCGGAACTCTTGGAATGCAGTGACTGGCAGCAGAGGGGGGCGTCTTTGCAGCAGCGGGCTGGGGGAGAAGGCTGGAGGCAGACCCAGGAAGGCGTGGCGATAGCACACGAAGGGGGGGAGTGCAGGTTGGTGGGGGGTTTGACAGAGTCACGATTGAGGGGAAACATTCGTCTCACCTGTCCTCTGTCACCCCAGCAAGGGCCAAAGCCCGTCGTCTGAATGCCTGAAATGACTTGACAGGCAGCAGAGCTGGCCGCCTCTGCAGCAGCGGGCCAGGGGAGAAGGCTGGAGGCAGACCCAGGAAGGCGTGACGATAGCACACGAAGGGGGAGGAGCGATTTGCTGCTAGCGCCGCCACCTCTGAGACGGTTACCAGAGACGAGAGGCGGCGGCGGCGGCGGTGGTGGTGGTCAGACCGCTTTTCGGCCAGCTCGGGCGTTGGGGTTTTGATGTGCTGTTGCTGAGAAGCGAGGCGGCAGCGCGATTTGATTCTCATTAGATCACGGGGCACGTTCTCGATTTGATTCACCTTTTGTCCCCTAGCGTGGGGAAGAGAGTGGGGAGGAGGGGAGGACGGGGGGGGAAAGAGGAGGGAAAAGAGGAATGGGGAAGAGGGGAGGAAGGGGAATGGAAGGAAAGAGGAGGGAAAGGAGGGATGGAGGAAGGGGTGTAGAAGGAAAAGAAGAACCGTAGAGGAGGAAAGGGTGGAGGGAAGAAACAACTGAGCAAAAAAACTGAAGAAACACCTGAGCAACACACCTGGTAGAGATCGACGCCCGGAGGGGTGGTAGCAGCGAGGAGAGGCCACCAGGGGAAGTGGCGAGCGAGTGGAGTAGTCAGGGGGCGGCACAGAGATGCCATCATGCCAGAAGCAGCGATGTGCGCAGCAGCAGGAATATGTACAGGTTCATGGTCATGGGCATGAATGATTTGAGACGTCTCAAAACAGGTTCATGGTCATGGGCATGAATGACAGGCACGCGTGTAGCAACACACACCTGGTAGAGAGTCACACTCGGAGGGGCAGTAGCAGCGAGCAGAGGCCACCAGGGGAAGTGGCGAGTGGAGTAATAGTCAGAGGGGGGAACAGAGATGCCGGCAGTGGTATGTGTAGCTTCGTCTTTATGCACATGTATGCCTGTGTGCACGCCTGTGTCCCCATGTATGTGGGAGGTGTGGGCGAGCATGCCTTCGGTCCCCCTGGCCAGGCATGGAAAGAGATGCGCTGTGCTGTTGCGCAGGGCGTGGCGCTGGGAGGAGAGGAGCTGAGGGGATAAGGGGCGTCGGGAGGGCACAGAGGTACAGGGGAGGAAGGGGAGGGGGATGGGGTAGGCAGGTGTGTGTGAGAGAGTGTGCCTTTGAACCTTTGACCCCCCTGGCCAGGCAGGGAAAGAGGTGCGCTGTGCTGTTGCGCAGGGCATGGCGCTGAGAGGAGAGGAGCTGAGGAAAAAAGGCACGGGGAGATAAGAGAGGGACATGGGAGGAGGGAGATGGGGATGGGGTAGGTGAGTGAGAGCATGCATTCAGTCCCTCTGACCAGGCAGGGAAAGAGGTGTGCTGTGCTGTTGCGAAGGGCATGACACTGAGAGGAAAGGCGCTGGGAGGAAGGAGAGAAGGAAAGACAGGGGGGGGAGCAATCCGGTTAAAGCAGCCCACAAGGTAAAACAAGGAAAGAGATGTGCTTTGAGAGCTCTCACACTCCTTCACTCACTCACTCACACACTCGCTTGCTCACTCACACACTCACTCACTCGCTCCCTCCCCCACTCACTTCCTCAGTGATTCCAGCTATCACCCACATGTGACAGAGGGATGACGTGGTGCAGAAAATGCCAAGGATTGCCGGCCGTCAGTGGCATGATGACAGCTGTAGCGTCCTCTATCCATCCGCTGTGCCCCCTCTTGCCACGTGGCAGCTTGTCATTGGTGTAGGTTACTGGGAAGGTGAAACAGCCTGCCTCGTTGCATAGGGGTAAACCATCACCATCGCCCTGCCAGTAGTTGACCGGAGAGAGGAGGGACAAGAAAAGATGGAAACACAGGGAGTGAGGGGCATGGGTGGGTGACTGCAAAGGTGAAACAGCACAGCCTGCCTCGTTGCACAATGGTAAGCCATCACCATCACCCTGCCAGTGGGGGAAAGAAAGGAGTATGAAAGTGGGGGAGAGGCGGGTTGGGTTGACAAGACGGGGAGGGGAGAGGGGGTGTGGGTAAGGGAGGAACAAGGAGAGAGAGGATATATTGAAAGAAAGGTGAACGAGGCTGCCTCGTTGTATAAGCATAGAGCCAATTTGGTGTTCTCGCACTAACTAATAATGATAATAAGCACCCACGAACTTACCAGCACGTCTGCTCCTCCGCAGCTCATGGTATAGTGCAATTTCCATCACCTGAACGCGTAATAAGCACTCCCTACTCACCGAAATGTATTGGAGTGACTTTTGAGAATTCTCAAAAGTCACTCCAATATCTACTCCGTGCAAGATCACCCCTCCCTTGAACCGAGCGTGTATGCACACGTTCTCCAGCTCGTATGCTCCTCCCATCTTCTGTACGCGTTATAACCAGTCCCCACTCACCGGCACATCCTCTACCCTGTGCAAGATCACCCCTCCCTTGAACCGAGCATGTATGCACACGTTCTCCAGCTCGTATGCTCCTCCCCCTTCCACTCGCCTCACAGCGGACCGCTGCGGCACCTGGTGCTCGCTGTAGTGCGTGGCGTCAGAGACTGGGAGGGGGGAGAAACAGAGGGGAAAAGGGGAGGGGGAGGGAGGGGGGGAGGGGCGGGGAAAGGGGGCACAAAAAGGGGGGAAACATAAAAAAAGGGGCGTGAAAAGGGGGCGAGAATAGGGGGAGAGGGGGGAGGGAGACGAGGGAGGACGAGGGGTTGGGGAAACGGGGGAAGCAGTGGATATGAGAGTGCGACCCTCCGCCTTGAGAATCCCGCAAAGCACTAACGGAGACATGCAACAAACTTACGCAGGGTTCGCATTCCGCGATGTCGCACTCGCAGAAGCGGCGTTTCCTGATCTGGAGCTGACGTGGCGTCCCTCGAGTCCACGTCAGCGTGGGTCTCGAAGTAGGACCGCGGAAGAGATTGGCCGAGGTAATCGTCATTCCGGCCGCAGATAAGACCAGCTGTGGACGCGTGAGAATCTGACACGTGGCATGAGAGCAGGAGGAGGCAAACGAGACCACGTGTACCCGTCCACCGGGACCGTCTGATCATCGCGGAGTAAATGAGAGGATATTAATCAGCTAATCCAAGTAGGCGTACTAGAGACACGACGACGCGTGAAGAAAGCGGCAACGACGAGGAGTCCCGCGTTCTAAAGACAAGACAACCTCGAGGTAGCCGCGAGCTACCATATATTCGTTCATGTCGCCGAGATTGTGTCTCTCGACGAAATCTCTAGCGGCGATGGCCTTTGCCAGGATCGACGGTCCACACTGTCAGCGATGCTTTCTGGCGATAATACCGCAACGGCGATAAAACCGGGAGAGACGGCGGTAATACCGTGAAATGGACGCTAAAGGTACAGAATAAGAAAGGCTAAAGATGCCTGTGACCGACAGAGCTCGTACGGCAGTAGTCCTGTGACCGACAGAGCTCGTCTCCCTTCCCGGCAAAACTAAACAGCTGCGGCTGACGTGGAGCTAGCACGAGGTAATCGAAGCGGGATTATCCTTCACAAGATTATCCTTCACAGGATTATCTGGGTGGAGTTCTCGAAGCGCGGCAATAGCTGTGCCTTTTCAGCTGAGAGTGGGGTCTAACGGAACTGTATATTCTGTTCTTCATTCGGCTGAGGATGACAAGTTATTCGCGATACAGTTGTTGGTGAATCATTGGCCGTAAGATCCTAGCTACTAACACGACATTCTAAAATGAGAGCTTCTGTACAGAATAAGAAAGGCTAAAGATGCATTTCAGTAAGCAGCATCAGTCACCAGATCAGTGTAAGGCTGGTTATTTTGTTACAAATAACTGTGTTTAATACTCGAAGCGGATTCCCATCAATTTTCTTGCAGACATTGGTGTGCTGTAGTGGGATGAAAAAAATCAGGAGCGAATGCATCAGGAAAATGACTTGGGAAAAACCATGCCAACACAACGATAGGCAATGAAACGATCATTAAGGAAATAAAGCACGACCATAAATGCAACAAAACAAAACAGCATATGATTCAATTTCCATGTCAGACTCCTTACCGAGAATCTCATCTGCCGTGATTCTGAGGGCGGCATCTTTTGACAGCATGCGCAACACCAGATCCTTGGCTTCGTCAGAAACGCTCTCCCACACTCCCTCCCTCTCCACCTCCTCCTCCACACTCTTCTCCAATATAGCCCGAAACACCCCCTCGTCTGAGTCCCCCCAGAAGGGAAGTGCCCCCGACAAAAGGACAAACAGGATCACTCCGGCCGCCCATATGTCGGATTGTGGACCGTAGGATTCGTGGAGGACCTCTGGGGCGATGTAGAATGGCGAGCCCACGATCTCAGAAAAGCGTTCTCCTGGGAGTTGGGGAGTCGAGAGGAGAGGGGAGGGGAGAGGGGAGTTACGGTTACAAGTTTGGGGTTTGAGGGGAGAAGCGATGCAGAATGGAGAGCTCACAATCTACAAAAAGCGTTCACCTGGGTTTTGAGGAGTTAAGTGGAGAGAGGAGGGGACAGGGGAAGGGAGAGGGGAGTTAGGGTTTGTAGGTATGTGGCGCATGTCTCCTCACACTTGAGTGTGGTTTGTATTGCACAGCACCACTCTCAACACCTGAGTAAACCCACACACCTAGAGAAACGCACAACGAACCATGGAGCATCTTGATGCACAAAGTTAAATGCGATCCTTGTACTGCACAGCACCACTCCCAACACCTCAACAACCCATTGCACCCACCTGGATTGAAGAACACCGAAACCCCATAGTCAATAACTGCAACATCCACATCATCATCCTCCCTCCTTAGAAGCACATTCTCCGGCTTCACATCGCGATGCATGATCCCCTGGGCATGCAGGTCCCTCAGCAACCCCACTAGCCGCCCCACCACTGCTGCTGCCTCACTCTCCCCATACGCCCCCCCCTGCTGCACCCGCTGCCACAGGTCCCCCCCTTGACACAAATCCATTACTATATGAAAGTGCTGCAGAGGAGGAGGGGGAGCGGTGGGGAGGGGATGGGAGAGGAGAAGAGGGGATGAAGAGAGGAGTATAAGAATGTGTGTAAGAGCACGAAGAGAAGGGTATGAGAGAGTGTGAGCATGATCCCCTGCACGTGCAGCCCCCTCAGCAGCCCCACCAGCCACTCCACCACTGCTGCTGCCTCTATTTCTCCATACCCCCCCCTGCTTCACCCTCTGCCACAAGTCCCCCCCTTGAAACAAATCCATCACCAGATGCACATGCTGCAGAGGCAGGGGAGGGGGAAGGCAGGGCAAGAGGGGAGAGAAGCAAGGAAGGGGGGGAAGAGGAGAGGAGGAGACAGAGAGAATGGTATCAGCGTGTGTTCACCATCCGCTGGGCATACAGATCTCTCAGCAGCCCCACCAGCCGCCCCACCACTGCTGCCGCTTCCCTCTCGCTGTATACCCCCCTCTGCTGCACCTGCTGCCACAGGTCCCCCCCTTGACACAAATCCATCACCAGATGCACATGCTGCAGTGGGAAAGGCGGGAACAAGGGAAGGGAGTGGAGAGGATGGAGAGAGGGGTAAAAGAGTGTGTGGGTATGATCCCCTGAGCGTGATAAAAGTTGCTTTTTGACACGACATCTCAAAAACAACTTTTGAGACGTCTCCAAAAAAAAAAATCACCTCGTGGCTAAGAGTGTGCGTGTGCATGATCCCTCAGCAGCCCCACCAACCGTCTCACCACTGCAGGCGCCTCTGTCTCCCCTTACTGAAGCCCCTGCCACAAGCCCCCCCCAGATGGCACTCTATCTCACCTCCTCGTCTTCAAACACCCCCTGCAGCTGCACCGAGCAGGGATGCCCTCTCATCACTTCCAATATCTCCACCTCCCTCCTCACGTCTTCCGCCTCCTCCTCGCTCTGCCATGCACGTAAGCATACAAAGAATGAACATATGCACTCAGGTGACTTTTGAGTCGACTCAAAAGTTACAAAGAATGAACATATGCACTCAGGTGACTTTTGAGTCGACTCAAAAGTTACAAAGAATGAACATATGCACTCAGGTGACTTTTGAGTCAACTCAAAAGTTACAAAGAATGAACATATGCACTCAGGTGACTTTTGAGTCGACTCAAAAGTTACAAAGAATGAACATATGCACTCAGGTGACTTTTGAGTCGACTCAAAAGTTACAAAGAATGAACATATGCACTCAGAAACTGCATTTCATTGTGCCTCTCTCCTCACGTCTTCCGCCTCCTCCTCGCTCTGCCATGCACAGAAACACAAGAGTAAGCGGACGCACTCAGGACTGCGCATTTTCTAGGTGCCTCAACATTAGAAGTGCTCCTCCCTCCTCACGTCTTCCGCCTCCTCCTCGCTCTGCAATGCACAGACAAGAAAAGGATGGGCAGATGCATTCAGGCCTGTGCCTTTTTTTCAATTGGTGCTCCCCCTTCCTCCCGTCTTCTGCCTCCTCCTCACTCTGCTGTGCACAGAAACACACAAAGAATGAGCAGAAACACTCAAAGTGTGGGAAGTCGCAAAACTTGGAAACTCGTTTCAAGAATGACGGGTCACAAACGGTCACCACGAACGAATCGCATGGCTCATATGGTGTTTCAACATAGTTTCCCTCTAGGGTTTTTTCCTTAAGAATCGTTTTGCATGCATAAACTTCATCACTCCTCCGATGCACACACTGCCTGATGCTGCCCGATCTGCCCCTCCCTGTCTCTCCACCTCCCTTCCCTCGTGCCTCCTGCCTCATTAAACCACGACCTACATGTATTTTCCCCGTGGGAATCGTTTTACTCACGCGAACACTTCGTTGCTCCTCGGATGCACACACTGCCCGATGCTGCCCGATCGTCCCTTCCCTATCTCTCCGCCTCCCTTTCCCCGTCCCCCCTGCCTCATCCCACCACTACATACCTGTATTTTCCCCTTGGGGATCGTTTTACACGCGAAAACTTCGTTGCTCCTCCGATGCACACACTGCCTGATGCTGCCCGATCGTCCCCTCCCTATCTCCTCCGTACTCAATAGAAACTGCTCCGTTATATCCTCAAAAGGCCGTCTCAGCACGCTCAAACCACCACCAGAAGCACCAGCAGCAAGTGTTGTCCCTGCTCCTTCTGCTCTTCCAATTCCCCCCCCTTTCCCTGCAGAAGGACGGAGGGGCGACCCCCCTCGTCCTGCTCCCCCCACTCCCCCCACTCCCCCAACTCCCCCCACCGCCCTCTCCCCCCAGCTCCCCCCAGCATGGCTCGGGGACATGGGGGGATTGGGGGAGGATGAGGGATGGGGGGAGCGGGGGGAGTGAGGAAGAGGCTTCGAAGGGGAGTGCGAGTGAGAAAGTGAGTGAGGATGGGGCTTGGGAGAAGAAACGGAGTGAGCATGGGAGTGAGATTGGGACTTGGGAGAATAAACGGACTGAGTGTGGGGATGAGGGTGGGGTTTGGGAGGGGAAGGCGAGTGAGAGTGGGAGCGAGAGTGGCGGTGAGGGGGAGGAGGAGAGGAGTGTTGTTGGGTCGGTTGAATCCCACCCCCTTGACGAGCGGGGGAGTGAGGGGGCGGCAAACGAGCACCAGTGTTACCACCAGTGTGGTAACCACCAGCAGCACCACCAGGGGCACCACCAACAGCAGCAAAACCACCAGCAGCAGAAATACCAGCAGCAGCACCACCAGCGCCAGCACCAAAACCGGGATCAAAACCTGCAACAGCAGAGTATCCAGCAAGCGCGCCACCACCAGCAGCTGAACTAGCAGACATTGTCCTCTTATGCCGTGACATGCCTTGTGATGCCGCTCCTCTTCCCCCTCCCCCTCCTGCTCCAAACCCCCCTGCTATTCCCCCATCTCCTCTCCCTCCCCCTCCCCCCTCCCCCTCCCCCTCCCCCTCCCCCTCCCCATCCCCCTCCTCCCTCCCCTCCTCCTCTCCCCCCTCCCACAGGATTATAATGAGGGTGAAGTTTGGAGGGACTGGGGCTCGTATAACTCTTAGTGCTTATAATGGGTTGCCCACCGAATTCCTTTCCACTGGCACCAGAACGCGCAGCAGTGGCAGCAGCAGCTCTCGCCGAGCCTGCAGGTTTGGCCGGGGCGGTGGAGGATCGGAAAAGCTCCTGCTGGTCGATTTCCTCCTCTGTCTCGTATTGCTGCTCCTGCCACGATCCCTGCTGCCACCCCTGCCCCTGCCTCTGCCCCTGCCCCTGATGCGGCTGCTGTTGCTGCTGCTGGTTGTACCGTTGCTGCTGCTGCCACTGCTGCTGCTGCTGCTGCTGCTGCTGTACAAACCCCATGGGTTGTTGTGGGGACAGCATCGGCTGTCCCAGGTCAGAGGGAAAGCCGCCCACTCCCGCCATTCCCATGGAATGACTTCTCCTGTGACCCACACGCCCCTGATGCCCCTGCTGCTGCTGCTGATGATGATGATGGTACTGCCCCTGCTGCTGCTGCTGTATCTGCTGCCCCTGCATACTCGCCTGCTTCTCCCGCTCCTTCTGAATCGCCTGCTCATTCTGCTGGTGTCTCCGCTGCAGCATCAGCTGATGCTCACTCACCTGCTGATGCTCACTCACCTGCTGCTGCTGCTGCTGCTGCTGCTGCTGCTGCTGCTGCTGCTGCTGCTGCTGCTGCTGCTGCTGCTGCTGCTGCTGCTGCTGCTGCTGCTGCTGCTGCTGCTGCTGCTGCTGCTGCTGCTGCTGCTGCTGCTGCTGCTGCTGCTGCTGCTGCTGCTGCTGCTGCTGCTGCTGCTGCTGCTGCTGCTGCTGCTGCTGCTGCTGCTGCTGCTGCTGCTGCTGCTGCTGCTGCTGCTGCTGCTGCTGCTGCTGCTGCTGCTGCTGCTGCTGCTGCTGCTGCTGCTGCTGCTGCTGCTGCTGCTGCTGCTGCTGCTGCTGCTGCTGCTGCTGCTGCTGCTGCTGCTGCTGCTGCTGCTGCTGCTGCTGCTGCTGCTGCTGCTGCTGCTGCTGCTGCTGCTGCTGCTGCTGCTGCTGCTGCTGCTGCTGCTGCTGCTGCTGCTGCTGCTGCTGCTGCTGCTGCTGCTGCTGCTGCTGCTGCTGCTGCTGCTGCTGCTGCTGCTGCTGCTGCTGCTGCTGCTGCTGCTGCTGCTGCTGCTGCTGCTGCTGCTGCTGCTGCTGCTGCTGCTGCTGCTGCTGCTGCTGCTGCTGCTGCTGCTGCTGCTGCTGCTGCGTCTGTTGACCCATGTCGTCCATCCTCACGCCTGCTGCTCCCGCTCCTTCCCCCATCCCTTCTCCGCCTGAGTTTGGGACCTTAAACCCTGTGTTAGCTGCACCCCAGTGCACAGGAACAGGGGAAACAGGAGCAAGCGGAACGTCCTCATCATCCCCCTCTTCCCCCGGATGCACCCTCCCATCCTCCACTTCTGCTCCCTCCTCTCCTCCCTCCTCCTCTCCTCCCTCCTCCTCTCCTCCCTCCTCCTCTCCTCCCTCCTCCCCTGCTCCCTCCTCCTCTCTCACTCTGTCCTCCAGCTCTCCATCCCCCATCATACCATTTCCTTCCCCTCCACCTCTTGCTCCCCCCGATTCCCCCCCTCCTCCGCCTCTTCCCCCAACCCATCCCCTGCCTCCGCCTCGTCCCCCTCCCCCCAACCCGCCCGTTTCCCCCACGCCCCCGCCTCTCCCCATCTGCCCCGTGCTAGGTCTCCGCATCCGCCCCCCCGGCCCCTGCCCCTGCCCCTGCCCCTGCCCCTGCCCCTGCCCTTGCGCCTGCCCCTGCGCCTGCTCCGTCTGATAGCTTCCCCCCGCCCACCCATCCCCGCCCCCCCCTCCAGAGAACCCCCAGCCCCCTCCCCCAGGCCCCTGCAAGCTCTGACTGCGCCTGTGACCCTGCCCCCCGCCCCCTCCCCCTGCGCCTCGTCCCCCTCCGCCTCCGCCGCCCCTTCCGCCTCCCCCAGAGAAACCGCCCCCAAGGCTTCCGCCGTGCAGGGGGGAAAGGAGGGCGGAAGCTTGGCCTGAAGCATGATTCCCCCTTCCGTACTTCCCAGAATTGCCATCCTGGTGTTGCTGCAAGAAATTCTCGTTACTATCCTCCTCGTTATCGTCCCCATGCTCACGGATTTGCCCAAGGGGGGATTGTGCGCCCCTTTCCCTCCCGCTGCCCTGCCCTCGCGCTGCTCCCCCCCGCCCCAACCCTCCTCCGCCTAAACCCCCGCCCACAGACCCTCCCCCAATCCCCTTGCGCGCATTCCCCCCCAATGCATCACTTCCCCCATCTCCTCCGGGGCCACTGCCATAGCTACTGTTACTGTAACTATTGTTACCATAACTAGTGTTACTACTTGAAAGGTCCATAGACCGATGCCTCAGAGGATGGGTGGGGATCGGTTTGGAAGGGTCTGAGAAGGAGGAGGGGACTGGCGCAGGGATCCGTCCTCCGTCAAGAGAGGCGCGCCTTACCCCCTCTTCAAGGGGAGCGCCCCTTCCGCCGCCGTCAAGGGAGGCGCGCCTTACCCCCCCTGCCGACGATAACATTCTCTGCCCGCCTGCAGGCCCGCTCCCCCTCCCCCCAACAGTTCCCCTAGCCCCCATTCCGCCCGCTTTCCCGCCCCCACCTCCCCCTCCGCCTCCCCACGCTCCTGTTCCGCCTCCCCCTTCCCCGTCCGCCCCTTCCCCCGATCTGTTCCCCAATTCCCCTCCGCGGAAGTCCATTTCCTGCAAGAACTGCCCGGAGTCCGCGGGGAAGGCGGACTTGGTGCGCCGATGGCGCGAGGGCTTCGCGACAGGCACGGCAACCATAGCCGCTAAGTCCTCCGGCGGCAAATCCGCGTCGTCCTCTCTCCTCAGAATATTAACGGACGGTCCTGAAAACATCTCCCACACCCGCCCGCCGGATTTTATGAACTTAGGCTTAAACCGAGGGTCAATACTGTCTAAATTCGCCCCCTTGCCTTGCGCCTCCTGCCCTCCGCCGCTTGGGCCTCTGGTTTCCCCCCCCACTCCGCCTTTCCCCCTCGGACCTTCCCCTGGGCCGCTAACTCCTCCGCCCGCGCCTCCCCCTCTTCCGCGCCCGTCCATATCGCCCCCGACTCTCCCCTGCGCTCCCGCCTCCCCTCTCCCCTCTGGCGCAGGCGGATGCGCGCCTCTCCCCGCTCCCGCGGGGCCTGGCAGAAACTGTCCCGGTGCTCCCATCTGCGCGAGAAAATCAGGCGCAATGGCCCCCATTCCCATAGCCCCCATTCCCATGGATCGCGATCGGCGGTGGTTACCACCGTGGTTACTCGCGACACCCATGTGGTTACCCGCGAGGTTACCAGCGACGCTCGGGTGGTTACCAGGGAACGCGATAACGGGGGCGACGGGAACGTTGTCGCCGTGGTCCCACGGAAGCTCTTCCGCTTGCTCGGACTGCTGCTGTTGCGGGAACTGCGGAGACATTTGTGGCGGATATTGCGGGAATTGCGGCGACAGAGGTGGTTGCTGGTAAGGACCCGGATTCTGCTGGGTCTGCGACTGGTGCTGGAACTGCGACTGTTGCTGCTGTGGCGCGTACTCGTTCCATGTGTTGCGGGTCTCGTGCTGGCTTGCTGGCCTTCGTTGCACGTGATGATGATTCATGGCGGCGAGAATTGTCGGCCTCTGAGGCGGCTCAGGACAAGATTAATCCGTAGTGTTAGAGGCAGTTTTCTAGGTGCCTAAAGAATATATTACTAGTGCAGACAGAAAGCCGCGCAAGGAACGGTGTGACGTAACAGGGGTAATATCTTTCTTCAAGGCGCCTCAGTAATAAAAATGATACGACGTACCATGCTTGCGACGTCACGCTCGACCATCACATGGGATAAGAGATCGACGACTAGCGGGTTAGAACCGTTAAGAGTTTTGACGCCTAGCCGTCCGTCACCTTGCACTGAGCCTTCGCGGCTTCAGTCTATATTGCCTTCGTCAATCGGGAACGTGTCATTAGAAAGGGTCATAAGAATGTATCACTAAAATGTGTCTTAAAATCGCGTCGGTAAAATGTGTCAGTTAACAGTGCCTTAGTGTCAGCTAATGGATCATTCTAAACGCAGCTTCAGACCTAAAGCAGCAGCAACTCTACAGCGTCTACTTTCCAGGTGTCCAGATAAATAGGCGAAACGCCTACGAAAAATTACGCTCGCGGTTGTAGGTCGGAGCGAATCGAAGTCAAGTGCAGGAGCAACTGCACCCTCTGAAAAGGGACGAACGTGAAACTCAGCCACCACCACTCACACCCTCTGAAAAGGGACAAACGGCCATTCACTTTGAGATAGAACTTCAATTGCTGAAATGCAGGCTCCAAGAATAAGAACCACACTACACCACAAACAAGCAATGCCTGAACCTGAACCGAAGCCCAGCCATACAGAAATGCAAGCGGTGGAACAGAGTGAAGTGAACCCAACTGGGGAAAAGGCCAGAAAAGGAGGCCTGAGGCCATTTGTGTAATAAAACTAGGGATATTGCACCCAACCTAGCTGAACCGAGCGTTCACTAGTCGGGGATGTTTGAAAGTTTGGAATGAACCAGAAGCTGGAAATGCAGTAGATTGGGTGGCGTTGGGCCAGTGGGAGTGTCGGCAGTAGAGTGTCATTCGTGCATTGGTCGTTGTTGGGCAATTGGGAGTGCCAGCTGTAGATTGGCCCCTCGAAAATGTCGCATCGCAGGTCGCTCTTGTCTTTGTTGTGATTGGATCATTGAAGGGTTGCAGTGAAGCTCAGCCACAGACTCACGTTGCAAGGCTGGCGGGAAAATGGGAGCACAAGTAAGGATGCGGTGAAAGTGCAAAAATCGCAGGATCGTCTGCAAATATCGAGCCCCACAATCGAGTGGGCAGATCGATCGGCGAAACATGGCGACCGCGATGCTGTAACGATCGCACCTGAGAATTGACAGATCTCCCGCGATCAGTGATAAGTCGCATTCACACACTGTACATAAATTTTGGCCAAAAAGTCCACTGTAGCATGGTTACAAAGCAGTAAATAGGGTAACCGATCTGCACATCGATCGCGACTGACGATCGATCGTCTACTTTCACCGCGTTCTAAGGTGCTTCAGTAGTGAAGCACATGTGTTGCGTTTAGAGAATTCGACTGTATTTTAAAACACCACATTTTGCGTAACCACCAACACAAAGTGCTCGACTCACCATCCAGCACTTTAGGTACAGTAGTGAGCCAGCCAACCTGCAATTTGAAACCAAAAAAAAATGTGGAAACAATATAGGCAAGTAAGAACACGCACGCACCTGAACTGGTGTTTATGAATTGTCGTCGTCATCGTCATCATCATCATCACTACCGTATGCACCAAGCCCTAAGCCAACACCCAAAGATCCTCCATCCTTTTTCTCAGCATCCCCACATTGACTAGCATTGTCCTTCTGCCTTGTCGCCTCTCCCTCGTCACAGCCCCGCTTTCCTTGATCACCAGTAACAGAGACCCCTTCTACACCACTCCGTGCTCCATCCAAATCATTAGAAACAACTTTTGCAGGATCAGCTTTAGAAACACCGGCAGCTCTAGATTCGGCCACTTTATCTGGAGCTCCTCCGGACTTGGCTTTTGGCTTCGCCTTGAGCTGAACCTTCACGCCCAGACGAGGCATCATTGGGAGATCGGGCTCCTTCCGTTTTCGAAGAGCCGCCAATACAGAAGAGCCGGACGAGCCAGGAGCACCAGAAGCACCAGTTGCTTGTGAAGTTGCCGCCTCAGGAGCGGGATGAGAATCAACAGAGACTGTTCGGCTCAGAAGGGCAGCCTGGAGGATAATCCACGATGGGGCGTGATGAATAAAGAAGAGAAATAACATAATACTTCAATCATAGGAGGTGATGCGAAGGCCACAGAGAAATGCATGGGAGAACATATGCGAGAGGCTATTAGGGGTAAATGAGCAGTGCACTTGATAAGAACATTTTTTAGTTGACTCAATGGCCAAGATGCACAGAGGAAAGACACACACATGGGGAAGAACACACACCCGGCACACACACATGAAACTGTTCTCAAGAGTACGAGAGTAGGGCACACACCTGAAACTCTGTGAGTGCACGCCTGTCTTCATCGTCCTTCTCCTTCTCGTCCTCCCTCTTCTTCTGCAAGCCACGAAACAACGATTCTTCAAGTTCACTCAATAAAGCTCTTTCACTTAACGAGGCTCATATGCGCTTCTCTACTTTAATTTCCCACTGCTTTACGGTTCTGATGGGTTCAATCGGATCTCCGACTGACCTGCTCCACTGCTTCGAGAAACTCCAGCTCGTCCTCATCCAATGCCCTTGGTGGGCCTGATGGGGTGACCAACACACACAGCAGCAGCAGCACCTATCCGCTCCTCTGCTTTACGGTTCTGATGGGTTCAATTGGATCTCCGACTGACCTGCTCCACTGCTTTGAGAAACTCCAGCTCGTCCTCATCCAATGCCCTTGGTGGGCCTGATGGGGTGACCAACACACACAGCAGCAGCAGCACCTATCCGCTCCTCTGCTTTACGGTTCTGATGGGTTCAATTGGATCTCCGACTGACCTGCTCCACTGCTTCGAGAAACTCCAGCTCGTCCTCATCCAATGCCCTTGGTGGGCCTGATGGGGTGACCAACACACACAGCAGCAGCAGCACCTATCCGCTCCTCTGCTTTACGGTTCTGATGGGTTCAATTGGATCTCCGACTGACCTGCTCCACTGCTTTGAGAAACTCCAGCTCGTCCTCATCCAATGCCCTTGGTGGGCCTGATGGGGTGACCAACACACACAGCAGCAGCAGCACCTATCCGCTCCTCTGCTTTACGGTTCTGATGGGTTCAATTGGATCTCCGACTGACCCGCTCCACTGCTTTGAGAAACTCCAGCTCGTCCTCATCCAATGCCCTTGGTGGGCCTGATGGGGTGACCAACACACACAGCAGCAGCAGCACCTATCCGCTCCTCTGCTTTACGGTTCTGATGGGTTCAATTGGATCTCCGACTGACCTGCTCCACTGCTTTGAGAAACTCCAGCTCGTCCTCATCCAATGCCCTTGGTGGGCCTGATGGGGTGACCAACACACACAGCAGCAGCAGCACCTATCCGCTCCTCTGCTTTACGGTTCTGATGGGTTCAATTGGATCTCCGACTGACCTGCTCCACTGCTTTGAGAAACTCCAGCTCGTCCTCATCCAATGCCCTTGGTGGGCCTGATGGGGTGACCAACACACACAGCAGCAGCAGCACCTATCCGCTCCTCTGCTTTACGGTTCTGATGGGTTCAATTGGATCTCCGACTGACCTGCTCCACTGCTTTGAGAAACTCCAGCTCGTCCTCATCCAATGCCCTTGGTGGGCCTGATGGGGTGACCAACACACACAGCAGCAGCAGCACCTATCCGCTCCTCTGCTTTACGGTTCTGATGGGTTCAATTGGATCTCCGACTGACCTGCTCCACTGCTTCGAGAAACTCCAGCTCGTCCTCATCCAATGCCCTTGGTGGGCCTGATGGGGTGACCAACACACACAGCAGCAGCAGCACCTATCCGCTCCTCTGCTTTACGGTTCTGATGGGTTCAATTGGATCTCCGACTGACCTGCTCCACTGCTTTGAGAAACTCCAGCTCGTCCTCATCCAATGCCCTTGGTGGGCCTGATGGGGTGACCAACACACACAGCAGCAGCAGCACCTATCCGCTCCTCTGCTTTACGGTTCTGATGGGTTCAATTGGATCTCCGACTGACCTGCTCCACTGCTTTGAGAAACTCCAGCTCGTCCTCATCCAATGCCCTTGGTGGGCCTGATGGGGTGACCAACACACACATGACACACTGTACCTATCTGCTGCTCTGCTCTACGGTTGTGACGGGTTCAGTGGGGTTGAAGTGATTCACTGACTGACCTGCTCCACTGCTTCAAGAAACTCCAGCTCGTCCTCATCCAATGCCCTTGGTGGGCCTGATGGGGTGAGACACAGCATTACAGAGCACAGCACCGCACACCACCACGCAGCACAGCACAGAAGAGCACAGAAGAGCACAGAAGAGCACAGCACCACACCATCGCATTGCATGGCACGGCACAATTTAACAGAAGAAAGCGCACCAGCAAAGCACAGTCAAATTCCGAAACGTAGCAAACATGTGAGAACAATGAAGCCAAATGAGCAAACTGGCAGTCTTCAACGTATTATATGCAAGCAGTTCAGAATATGGGCACGTATGATATGCTACGGTTTGGCTGCGTTGGCATATTGATACAGACTTGTCGAGCCCTGGTTACAATACCCCCAGAGGAGCTAGGCTTACGGTTTTTGAATTTCTCCTTGTGCTCCGCTTCTTTCTTCTCCTTCTGCTCTTTCAAAATCTGGAGAGAGAGAGAGAGAGAGAGAGAGAGAGAGAGAGAGAGAGAGAGAGAGAGAGAGAGAGAGAGAGAGAGAGACGGCTGACTTCCTGAAGCTGCTCGCAGAAACGGCTGCATGGCGGTTTTTTAACGCCGAGCCATCCTCCTACCAAGCTGCCAAGCTCTTACATCAATACCGGCAGCGGTGGTCGGAGGCTCTTCAAAGGGGGCAGTCGATTGGGTACCTGGAAAAGTGCAACATAGCAGCAGCGGTAGAAAACCCGCTACTAGAGACAGCGGGTGAGGCCCCGTCCCTTGGGGACTGCCTCTCGGTTCTTGATCCTGCACTGGATCTTGCTTAGAGGGTGCTGAGCTGAGGAGTGAGTAGGAAGTGTAATATGTGTTAGCCCTACTTGTGTGATACCTATACCTTGCATGTCTGTTCACCTTAACTATCAATGAAAGGGCCATTAGAGAGAGAGAGAGCGAGAGAGAGAGAGAGAGAGAGAGAGAGAGAGAGAGAGAGAGAGAGAGAGAGAGAGAGAGAGAGAGAGAGAGAGAAAACACCAAACGAACAAATCGACCAACAAAACAATAAACAAGAACACAAAACAAGCAGAAACGAACAAAAAAATCTTGAAGCCGGCTTGCCAAACAATCGCAACAGATGTAATGCTTGCAACGAGAACGATCATCGGGCCTGCCACGACAGCAGCATTGCCATACCACGTACATACATTGGCTTGTCTACCTACCCAAACCCATCCTACACTTCTAGAACCATCAACGACCGTGTGGTTACCATACATTGCATCCTTGCAACCGTTACAGTTTCATCACCACACTTCATACAGGGGCTTGTCCACCGTTACAGTGCCATCCTTTCCTTAGAGTGTCATTCATACATCTCGTTACAGTGCCATCGCCATACCTCATACAACGGCTTGTCCACCGTTACAGTGCCATCTTCCACCCTCTCCCCCCTCAGCCGTTTGTTCTCCTCTAACTGCACATTGTGAAAGAGGCAGGGTGGGACAAAATAGGGAGTGTGGTGCAACGGGGTGTGACACAATGCTTCAGTGACACGAACGGGGGTGAGATACAATGGGGATGTGACAAAAAGGGGAGTGTGACACACCAGGGGGTGCAACAAAAGAGCGGCAGGGAAATTGAGAGAGTGAGAAGGGGGGCGGGGAGGAAAAGAAGGGCGGGAATTGAGAGTGGAAAGAGAATGGAGAAGTAACGGAGGTGAAATCTTGCGGACATGTCCTATAATGCCTCTCAAAAATTCATCGGCTTTTGAGTCGACTCAAAAGTCATCTCGTATAAAGACTCTCAAAAAGTCATCGGCTGGTGGATAAGAATATATTGTGTCCAGCTGAAGGGTGGACCAAGAGTAGAATGTGTCAGGTAAATCAAATTAAACAACACAATGCTTTTAGTACTATTGAGAGTACACCAATTAAATATGAACCTTGGTATTTACTAACCTGAGTTTCGGATATGAAATTCATCTTGTCGGCAACGTCAAACTAGTGGAAGAGCTTCTGGTAACAGTTGTTCGCGACAGTAACAGGTGATCGCGAAACGCAGTCGTTGTCGCAGAAGAGCGAGAGAGAAAACGCGGAACGCTTGCGAACGGTAAGCTCTGGAAGCTTCTGTTCAGCCTTGGGGCCGGCGCCAAATGCGCAGCTGGAGCTTGAAACGAGAAACGCTAACTATGTTCCAAGGTGCTCCGAAAACAGACGTTAGATGCGCTTGATGACGCCCTGGCGCCGTGCCTGAAGCGAGAAACGCGCTGAGAGACAAGAACGGGAAAATGCGCTGACGGGGAGAAGTCCTCAACACACTTGAGTGACGAGATTCAAGCCGCGTGTTTAGAATCAGGTAACTAGGTTCCTAGGTACATAACTGAGGGAACTGCTTTGATAGATCTTGTTATGTGCTGCTCCACTATTGATACAAGCTAATGTTGGAAACAAAAGTACATCTACATCTCCCGTTCACCTTGTACATTACTAGAGATATATCCAGGGTTTTCTAGACTTTTAAAATATTTTTTCCATAGATAAACATTACTCTGGATTAGGTTAATCTGGGTTGGTGAAATAATATAGCTGATTTGTTTTGAAGCATTCCGTCTTTATTTACATGCAAAATCAAATCTATGCACAGTGAATACAAGAAGTGAGCACATGTTGTGCTTGTGTACGGAATTCCTTTTCCTTACTTCACGTCCCTGCTCGGAGCGTACACCACTCTTCCCGCCAACAGCACCCAACAGTAATCCGTTACCACTCGCGACACTCGCCTCGACTACTGTTCGCGCCACTATTCACGAAGCGAACCAACCTCACGGTTCGGTCAGTAACCCGTGCTGCGGACCTCCGCCTCGACAATTCCCAACCTCGGCGCTAGGCCCGCCGCGCACCCCATTTTCATGCATTACCATTACCACTGTAGCTTCGCTACATATTCTTCGCTCACGCATTCGCTCATTGTATTGTTTTGCTTCGATAGATAAATGCGTGATAGTTTACCTCGACGACATCCTCGTTTACAGCCGCGATAAGCAGCAGCACTTTGCAGATCTGAAAGCAATTTTTAATGTTTTAGCTGAGCACCGACTACTGACCAAGGGTTCCAAGTGCGAGTTTTTTCAGGATAGGTTAGAGTTTTTGGGGCACGTTATTTCGGAGGCCGGAGTTGAAATTGACCCAAAGAAGTTGGACACGGTCAAAGCGTGGCAACCCCCGACAAATATCACGGAGCTGCAGAGTTTTTTATGTCAGTAGATATGCACTGTGGATGCCCGATTGATCCTACGGGGGGTTACAGGCACGTTCGCCTGGGGGGTTATGGGCGCACTGACCCGCTACCTAACCAGCCCTTTTATCCCAATGGTCTAGTGGTTGGGATTCCGACATGGTATCAGAGCGGTCTCAGTTTCGAATCCCGGTGTATGCACATGTAGGCGTTGCCGCTGTGCTCAGTCCTGGGCCTCCCACTGTGGGGGGGTGTCAATAGATCTGCACTGTGGATGCTCGATTGATCTTACGGGGGGTTACAGGCGCGTTCGCCTGGGGGGTTATGGGCGCACAAACCCGCTACACAAACAAGCCATTTTATCCCAGTGGTCTAGTGACTGGGATTCTGACATTTTAAGGTTCGTTAATCATGTGCGTCGGTTCGTCCCTGAAATGGCGTGGTTAACAGCCCCACTGACAGATCTGCTGCGGAAGGAGGTCGTTTTTACGTGGAGGGAGAAAGAGCATGCTGCCTTCTCTGCCCTGAAAAATGTTCTCTGTTCACCGCCCGTACTACGTAGCGCCGACCCACACCGCCCATTCGAAGTCACAAGCGACGTCGCCATTGGAGCCGTACTGCTACAGGATTTTGGCAACGGTTTACAGCGCATCGCATACAAGTCACGAAAACTGCATCCGCCCGAGAAAAATTACCCGATACACGACCGCGAAATGCTCGCAATCGTGCACGCATTCAAAGTGTGGCGCTGTTACTTGACCGGCGCCGACGTGATAGTACGGACAGACTACAAATCACTACAGTACCTCTGCGCACAGCCCCACCTCAACCCACGACAGGTTCGCTGGCTCGACTTCCTCGAATCGAATTTTCATTACACGGCCACCTACAAAAAGGGGGCATCAAACATCGCCGACGCACTGACTCGCCCCACTGCCCAAATCCACGCCATACTACTCGCCCATACCAGCTTGCTACTAACAGGACTATTTACCTACGGCTATCAGACAGACATGATTTTTCTTGAAAGTGTGTAACACTTTCTAAAAATATGCATTATGAAAGCGCAGCTAACTGTATCAAAGCAAGGCAACTGCGAATGCCTATTCCCAAGTACATAATGAGGGATGGAGGCCATTTGGCCTCCACCCACGTCTTCATTTTCGGAACTTTACAGTTCCGCTTCATTCTCGTCCAACCACTCGCAATGTTCCCGTCCTTGCCAATTTCATAAACAACCACCCAAACATCTTTTCAAGTAGCTATGGTGTTTACGCTGAAGGGCCACATGATAGCGCCCGTGATTTTACTTTGCGTACGCTCAACTGAGACTGAAGTGCGCCGGACGAAACGGCCACTGGCACGCCAGAGACGAAATCGCCACTTGCGCCAGTGGCACGCGCCAGAGACGAAATCGCCAGTGGCGCGCGGCAGGGACGAAATCGCCACTAGCGCCAGTGGCGCGCGCCAGAGACGAACTCGCCACTTGCGCCAGTGGCGCGCGTCAGTGACGAAATCGCCACACGCGCGCCTGTGGCGAAATCGCCACTTGCGCCAGTGGCGACATTGCCACTAGCGCGTCAGGGACGAAAGGGACACAGGCGCGACAGCGACGAAACTGCCACTCTAGCGCCTGTGCCATTGACTGCAGCGTCACCCACCTGCGTACCTTGTCTCCTCACCTATACATTGCGTTGCGATGCATATGCTGCAATTCTTCTTCTGATTTTTCCTCATTATTTTTTCTTTTTTTTTTCTATTGATTCTTTCATCTCTGACCAATTCCGATATAATTTTAATTCCTTGGTGGCAGAAAAACGGGCGCGTGATGTCGATGGTGACGGGACGCGCACCAAACTCCACCACTCGTGCAGGAAATCGCAACGATTGCCAGACCTACTCCACACGCACCCAACGACTTTCCTCGCTGAAGTCGAGGACCGCGAGTCGCAACGTTGCCCTAAGAGCCGTCCCCGGGGGGGGAGGGGACCGTGAGTCGCAACGTTACCCCGAGAGCCGTCCCCAGGGGGGGAGGGGACCGAGGGTCCCCATGCTGGCCTGAGAGCCATCCCCAGGGGGGGAGGGGACCCAGGGTCCCCATGCTGGCCTGAGAGTCGTCCCCCAGAGGGGGAGGGGACCGAGGGTCCCCATGCTGGCCTGAGAGCCGTCCCCCAGGGGGGGAGGGGGCCGAGGGTCTCCATGCTGGCCTGAGAGCCGTCCCCCAGGGGGGGAAGGGACCGAGGGTCTCCATGTTGGCCCGAGAGCCGTCCCCCAGGGGGGGAGGGGACCGAGGGTCCCCATGCTGGCCCGAGAGCCGTCCCCCAGGGGGGGAAGGGACCGAGGGTCCCCATGCTGGCCCGAGAGCCGTCCCCCAGGGGGGGAGGGGACCGAGGGTCCCCATGCTGGCCCGAGAGCCGTCCCCCAGGGGGAGAGGGAACCGAGGTCAGTGTCTTTCGATGTCGGCCTGAATAAAATCTTTCCAGAGGGGGAAGGAAGGGTATGAAGATACGCTTGCCAGAGCGCCACTGCCTTAGGGAGGGGAAGAAAATGGGCAAAAGCGGAGATTGGGAAAACCACACTTACCGGTATTGTGCATGTGGATATGTTGTATCCTTGGCTATTATGTTTAAAGACATGAATGATTTCAAAAAAAAAAAAAAAAAAAAAAAAAAAAAAAACATGAGTAGTCCTTGCTGTAGTTGCATGTTGGAGCCACGCCACACCACAAGCTATGATTTGACTTACCGGGGTAAGGTTGGTAGTGTGCAACTACCAGTGGCAACGATAGATATTGGATCTGATTTTTCACTCACCTACACGCACTCAAGTTCTCAAACGAGGGCTGCATGGAGGGAAAAATGTCTCACCGCATTCACTTTTACCGCACCTCCATGTCGTCACGCTTGACAAAATAAGGGAAATATAATTATGTACGGTACCAAACGTCAATGCAACTTGCACTTCATTACCCGAGTACGGTAATTGTTCGCACTTCGGCAATTTACAGGCAATGTGTTGAGAGGAGTACGGGACTAACATGGGTGGCAGACAGCGCACTTGTTGTCGTTTTCCTGTCTCGCAATCATACCGTAATACCACATACGGATGAGTAACCAAGAGACGAGCAACCGAGGGGCCAAGAGATGACCAACTGAGGGGCCAAAAGATGAGCAACCAAGGGGCCAAGAGATGACCAGCGGATGGGCCACAAGATGAGGAACCGATGGGCCAAGCCACGAG